GCTTACACAGCAGCAAAAGCAAAGTGTGGGAGCAAGGACACCCAACTGAAGCCACAAGAATTTCTAATTTGATTAAAGAATCTATCTTGCCCATATCAAATGGGACTCCTCCTTCAGAGAAGGCAGGGATAATTTTCTTTTTCGTAATGACTACTATGAGGAAATATATGCACTCCAAAACTATCTCTGATAAGCAGATATGCACCTAGGAATTATTCCCTGTGCCAAAAGGAAATAGTGCAGCATTCTGGTTCATTAAAAAAGAGTGTCTTCGGGGCTTCCCTAGTGGCGCAGTGATTAAGAATCCACCTGCCAGTGCAGAGGACATGAGTTTGAGCCCTGGTCCGCGAAGATCCCACATGCCGTGGAGAAACTAAGCCCGTGTACCACAAGAACTGAGCCTGCGCTCTAGAGCCGGTGCTCTGCAACAAGAGAAGTCACCGCAATGAGAAACCCCCGCTCACCGCAACTAAAGAAAGCCCGTGCGCAGCAACGAAGACCCAACGCAGCCAAAAATAAATAAGGAAAATAAATTTAAAAAAAATAGTGTCCTCATGTTTCTTATGTTCTTGATTGACCGGGTGTGCTTAATCACATACCAGAAAAGAATTAAACACAAAAAAAGACAACGAAACAAGGTAAAGTCGAATAAAAGGCGGCACAAACGAAACAATACTGTATGCAGCCACCTCAGACACAGGCCAAATGAACCTATGCTGTCAGGGCTCAGGATGATGATTTACCTCGAGGAGGCAGAAGTGGAGGCTGGGAGGCGGCATCTTCTGGGACTCTGCTCATGTTTACGGTCTTTATTTGAGCCCTGCTCCCACAGGTGTGCTTAATTTCTGTTCAATCCATAGACTATGCGTTTTTCTTTCTTGTACATCAAACACACAAAATCAAGGTGTAGAGACTTTAAGGACGCCAAGAGTCGCTCTAAAGTTTTCACGGAAGAAATATTTTATTTCCATCTATTCCACAAGTAGAAGGCCGTGGCAGTTTAAAGGCATCTATCAGGAGGAACATTGAAGCCTATCATTTTTCAGAAAGACAGAGTGTTAACAAATAGCTGCCGTCAGCGGGAAGAAGTTGAGGCCAGACACGCTGAACCAACTGAGTCGGGGACACCACTGTGGCTCAAACCACGTGAGTCTATAACCATGCAGGACCTGACGTGCTTCCAGACTGCTGCTTTGCTTGGCTTGACAATGAAATATTTTCAGTTCCCCACTTCTAGAATTTTACAAATTGGACCTGAATTCCAGAATCTTAAAACTTTCATATTTTTAGAGGTTAACAGATACTTTTTCAATTTCTTATTGAAATGATATTGCCTGGGAGTTAAATACCTTCAAATGTATAAACTGCAAATTCAGAAAATAAGACCACGTTGTGTTAACATTATTTAAATTCCTTGACCCAAATTCCATTTCTATTTTTTCTGAATAACCATAAGATGAACAAAGACTTATGTAAGAATCTTTTAAATAGCTATTTTTAAAAGCAAAAATTTATATAATACCTTATATTGAATATAAAGAGTCATAATTATGCCCCATCCATACCAATTATATGTATTTTAAAATCATGTATTTGAAGGACAGTTATTGATGTAGTACCAAGTACCACTTAATAAAGAGCAGAATAAAAGAACTGGTACAGAATGGACTTAATTTTTTAAAGAATTAAGCAAAACCATATTCGTAAAAATATAAAAACATTAGAAGTTCTCATTTCTGTGGCAGAATACTATGTGATGTTCAGTTTCTTCCAAAAGCTTTCCTATATTTTCCAAAATAAACATGTATTAGTTTTTAAATTATAAAGATATTGCATGCTCTTTCTAAAGAAATCCAAGTATATAGATTAAAAAGAGAAAAACTCTCCTTCCCCTTTCCTTCTCCCACCCCTGCCCAAGACTTATGCATATCTTTCAATACAGAGAAAAAGTGTTAACTTTTTATAATCAGATTTTTTTGGCTTTTGTGTCATGCTTTTCCCATGCCACAGTTATAAAGATATTTCCAAATTGTCTTTTGTGCTTTCATTGTTTTCACATTAGTTTTAATCTATCCAGATGAAAAACAATATGGTTAACATACAGTTTTAACCTAACCAGGAATTATTTTAGTATGTAGATTCGTACTACTGTGGCAGCCAGCCTCCAAGACGGCCCTCAATTCTCCCCACTGCCTGGTAGTCCACCTCAGGCAGATGCCTTCCACATTGTACCAGGGTTGGTCTGTGTAACCCAAAGAATGTGTAGACGGGATGTATGGGAAGTCATTTCAAATATTAGGTTATTAAAGATGGCTTCCTCCCAGGGCTCCCTTTCTCAGACCACTCATTCTGGGGAAAACCAGCTGTTAGGCCATGAAGACTCTCAGGCAGCCTAAGGAGAGGACACTGTGGTAAGGAACTCAAGGCTCTGGCTAAAAGTCAGTGAGGAACTGAGGTCCACCAACCACTGCTGCTGGGCTACACCCCACAGGCTGGCAAGCGCTGTACTCCCCCAGCCTCAAGACCAAAGAAAGAGCCCCGAGGCAGCAACAGGGATATTAATGGTTTAATGGATGGGGGATCTTACGTGTCTGAAGCAGAGCCTGGAGTGACACGCCACGGTATGCGACAGACGGCAGGCAGGACACCAGGGCAAGACGCGGCAGCAGTCTTCGGTACCACGGGGAGAGGGAGGTTACCAGTTATAGAGGGAATTGATATCAGGTGGGCTCATTGGTTACCAGGGAAACCAACTGAGGGGCACGCCCCTTTCAAACTATCTTAGTAGAGCTCTGATCTAAAGATCAGAACAATCACCAGCTGGGGCCAGGGTCAAGTAGGCATTTACTGATTAGACACTATGATTAGGAGGGAAGGTCAGTCATGTGAGGCGGGGACTGATTGAGCAGGGGATGTAGAGAGAGCAAGAGAGCAGGCATCTTGAGTGGCCTGATCATACAACCGCTGTCAGCTTGGAAGCAGACGCTACAGCCTTCAGAGGACTGCACTCCCAACCAATAGTTTGACTGCAACCTCAGCAGAGGCTGAGCTGGAAACCACCCAGCTAAGCAGCTCCTAGATCCGGACCACAGAAACGGATAGGATAAATATCTGTTGTTTAAAGCTGCTAAATGCGGTGATAATCTGTTGTGTAGCAATAGATAACTAATGTAATTACTTTTATAATTAGGACAAGTTTTATTTTTAAAAAGAAAAAGAGACACGTCTTTCAGAGAAAGAAAGGGCTTTGGTTGGTTGACTCGTTATTAAATTCTTGCTGATGAGCATCCTCCCTCTCCCCCAATGCTCGCTTACCTGAAAATCACTGCCTTAAGTTCGTTTGGGGAAAATATTATGCGCTAGAAAAGATAAGTATTAGTATTCTACAACTCCTATAGTTTATAGGCTACAAAATTGATTTCCCAGATGTTTATTCGATAGAAGTGCTAGTTGAAAAAATTTTTGAACTGTAGAAACTTACATTCTCATAAATAATTTGACAGCAGAATATAGGAAAAAAAAGAGCAAAGGCGTGGGACTCAGAAGTGGGACTTTTAGTTCCATCTTGGTCACTAACTCTAAGACCTTGGACAACTCTGCTTTTCTAGGTCTTAGTGTGGACCCTTTGGAAATAGTGGGGCAAAGTCAAATATCCTCTACTGCAGTGCCCTTCGCATGCTTTACACATGATCCCCTAAAATGAAGGGGGACATACTGACATAAAATTAAATATAAAATACATAAAAGTTGGGCTTCCCTGGTGGCGCGGTGGTTGGGAGTCCGCCTGCCGATGCAGGGGACACGGGTTCATGCCCCGGTCCGGGAGGATCCCACATGCCGCGGGGCGGCTGGGCCTGTGAGCCATGGCCGCTGAGCCTGCGCGTCCGGAGCCTGTGCTCCGCAACGGGAGAGGCCACAACAGTGAGAGGCCCGCGTGCCGCAAAAAAAAAAAAAAATACATAAAAGGTGACATATAAAATTTTTATTACAAATTGAATGTAATTTGCATTATTTTATCTTTAAATATATTCGTCAAAACATCGGAGATGAAGACTGAACTTAATTTACAGAGTGTGCCTGTCACGTATCCTAATTGGCAGTCAGCACTTGTCAAATTAGTTTACCAACTTTGTTTTCAATGAAAATGATTCATTTTTTTCACTTCAAATAAACACGTTACATATGCACTCTATAACGTGACTACCGTTTAACTTCATAGTTCTAATTTTTAGATAGATGGAAGGGTAGGTAGATGATGGAGGCTTGCCAGTAACTGACGAACTGGAAGAAATCAGATACCCCTCCCTTCGGTTTCCTGCTTTTCTCTCAAGGGACTATGCTATAAAGGCAATGCATTCCAGAATTGTCTTTGTTTAGTACCACGTGGTTTTCATCTCCAGGGCAGTGTACCATATTGCGGTAGATGAGTTAATACTTTTAAAGTTCTTTATCCTGTGACTTCCAGTCATTCTTGGCTGCAGTTATTCTGTCCTTACTATTTCCTGTGTAATGAAAATGACATTCTCACATGTAGATAATAATTATTATTAATAATATCACTTCTAGGGCTTCTCTGGTGGCGCAGTGGTTGAGAGTCCGCCTGCCGATGCAGGGGACATGGGTTCGTGCCCAGGTCCGGGAAGATCCCACATGTCACAGAGCGGCTGGGCCCATGAGCCATGGCCGCTAAGCCTGCGCGTCCAGAGCCTGTGCTCCGCAACGGGAGAGGCCACGACAGTGAGAGGCCCGCGTACCACAAAATAAATAAATAAATAAATCACTTCTTGGTATTACTGCTATGTGCCTGTATTTTGGGGTTGATTTCTATTTCACTACAAAGATAAGTGAAGTGTATTAGTTATGATGATAAAAGGAACAGAAGTGTTTTCATAGACAAGAACAATTCAGCATTTTGGATGGGAAAAAAAAGCCTAACACTGAAATGTCATCTGTGTAAGAAGTCAGAACAGTAAAGAAATAAAAGCTCTGAAAATATAAGCCCAGATTTTTAAAAAGCCATTTATTTTAAAAAACTGTTTGTCAAATCACATACACGAGCAGATACACAACTACCAAAGTGGCCCTGTAATAGACACCAGTGGGGCATTCACCACACAGTACCTGAAAAATACAGCTAAAAAAGAGGAGTCTGTGGAGTATTTAATTTCAGACACCTACTGGACTCCCTGTTGAATGGCTTTAAGTTAGCATATAGTGAGTGAGAGGTAGAGTCCCAAGTATAATAGCTGATGCCTCAGGGCTCCATTTAAAAACAAAACAAAAACAAAAACCATTTCCCCCTCTGCACAAGGGAAGCCTATCCTATTTTTTTTTTTCCTTTGTGAAAACAGAAGCCAAGTTTCTCTTCTCAAATGGTTCAGCATTCCCCGTAAGAGTGTTGTGTGGTGACCTAGGTATTGTGCTTCTTGAGCTGTCTAATTTTCTTCACCTTCAGATTCAGATTCTAGGAGAGAAGAAAGAAAAGTCAGGTCATTTCTTCTGAGACACCTTTAAATAAGGTCATGAAAGAATTTCTACTCTATCTCCCTCCCCCACTAAAAAAGACATTTTGCCTAGGCATCCATTTACTAGGTAAGAGAGTCATATAGAGGGCAGGCAGCAAACTTTTGCTCCTTTTTGCTTTTAAACGAAATTACCTTTCTAAAAATGCAACATGCTCAGAAATATTATTGGTGACGAAAACCATTTATATTTTTCCGGATCGGCAACTTTTCATGCTCAGTTGGATTAAGTCTCATCATTATTGTTCTTCCAACTTGTATTGCCATTTTAAATACCAGTCAACTGGTAAAGGCGCCATAAAAGTCGATATAATCCCATAAAAGTGATTAAGCCAAATGTATTTTTTTTCCTTTCACAGCTGCTGATTATTTCTTCCTCTTTGTCCCTTAAATTAGGAATAATTTAAGAGGTTTTGGTTTTGTTTTGTTTATCTTGCAGAAATTGTCATTGCCTTGATTCAGAAAGGAAGGCTAAGAGGTGGACAAAATGCTGTGGAACACACCTCAGAACTTTAGTTTTAGGAAGGCAAGAAAAATCTGTGGAGGGGGGAGCTAGTTTGAATTGTAGTGAGAAAGGATTTGCTAAATGGTCACCAGAGTTGTTAAATGGAATCATACCTTCTTCTGCGTTTTGTAACCACTCAACAAATTTCTTCATCTGGTCAAGAAAAACACTTTTGCCTTTGGCAACATGTGCTTCTTTGTACCATTTCAATATCGCTTCTTCACTCAGCACATCAGCTGCAATTTCAAATCAAAGGTTTCAAAGCTACTACATACATGTCACGTTTTAAAGCAGCTTCATGTCTTATAGTTTAATAGAAAGCAATCACTTCACATATTAAAGCTCTTTTATAAAAGAAATTCGTATTGAAACTTATCAGAAGACAAGAACCAAGCTTATTTCCATACAGCGCAGTGCCCTGTGTATTTTAGTAGTTAGGGGAGGCATGGTGATGGGACTGGGACTTGAAAATCTCACAGTGCTAATTTGTTGGCAGGAAACTAGGTTATTTTGTAATTTTGCCAATGAATCATCAATTCCAGCCTTTCAGAACACTCTGTGTCCTGCCACCAACTGCAAACACATCTTGATTAAGCAGCAACCACAAATGACTGGTCTTTCAAGGGGATTTACTTTAGGAGGAAAAGAAAGCAAATGAAAAAAATGCAGACAGGATGCAATAACAATGTTAATAATTAAATATAATGATGAGCTTCCTGGGTGTACCATGGGACCAATACACACATAATCCAAAGTTCTACAGTACTCTATCGCTAAGTCCTAAATTTACTTCCCCACAGCACAATATCTAAATCACATGAGTAATGTTTTCCTTGTACACTGTTAGGAGAGAAACAAAAAGTGTTATCTATTAACTATTACCTAGAACTCTAAATTCCACAAATATTCCTTGATACCCTCAAGTTACCATTAATTTAGAATATTTAATGTTAAGAATAGAAAGGGGAATATGAAAAAAATAGCCTACAGACTTTGCCAATGTTCTAATGGGTTATCTTTTGGGATTTTGGTGTGGGAAATTAGATGGAAAACAGATAAAAGGATTTATTATCATCCCCAACGCCTGCCCAATCCATTGCAAATGCTGATAAATCATTCTAATGATGTTTTTGCAGTTAAAATATACCTTTAGCTTATGAAAACAAGAGAAATGATTTGATACTGGTTTCATTCAAAACCTCACTGATCTTTTCATAACAAAAACTTTGTTTTTTTAAAATTAATAATTGGCTCTTGGATTCAATTGAAGAGGTCAAATTGACTAAAAATGCACATGATTGGTTTTAGAAAATATAAAGTTTGTTTTATTTTGGTCATTAAATACATTACATTTTGCAAAGGAAGAAGGAAGTCTAGATTTATTCATATATAAGGACTAGATATAAAAATTATAACCAGGAGCCCTAAGGAATTACTCTTAGCTTCTAGTCTTTTAGTTTCTTGTGCTTCCAGCTCCACACTCCCCACTCACAATGATGAAAGAATTCTCCTGCCTCTTGCCATCAAAGTCCAGTTTTCATACCAATGACGAGCAGATGCTTTACAGCTCAAGGAAGTGACCTGTTACTGGGTAAGATGGCTTTGCAGAAACCTTTCAGGAATGCTAATTAGCTCAAATATGGATGTTTAAAGTCCCTTTTATATAATTTGTTTTTATGACATGTTTAAAATGCCTGTGATTTAGACCAATAATTTCCAAACTGTTTTGATCATGCTCCCCTATCAGTAAGACAATTTTGAGTGTGTACACACAACATATGTGTATTTTTTGTTTTATAAATTATATGCATGTACTATATAACTGCTATTGTTAATGTTATAAAACAAAACATAGAATTAAACATGTAAAGAGAAATTCTCTTTTTTCTCCTCCCCTTAATGAATCATGTTATGACACAATGTACAGGTTGGAAAGGCAACGGAGAGTGTAGTTTAGCGATACTCTTTGTCTCAGGTTTTCTTTCTGAAGGCTGAGAGCTCATTCTCTGAAGGTTGAGAGTTTTATTGCCCCACAGAGGCCGAAAGAGGCCATGCAACTACTAGAATACTTGTCAGTGACTGTGCTTGTGAAAAGGACAGTACATGACAGGTAAAACTTATAGGATGTCTCATCCACTGAAAATCAGACAAACTGTGCAGAGCTGAGTTCTTAGAAGAAGCTAATTTAGTAATAAACACCTGCTGCAAGACCAAATTTCTAGTCCCAGGGGAATAAAACAATAGAGAAGGGACATAAGCACCTACACAGGGCGACTTTGCGGCAAAGCACGAACACCAGAAAGAAAGTCAACTTTTGTGTAGGGAAACGTCTCATCTTAAAAGGAAGGAACTCCTTGACAAATGAAGAAGAGAGAGAACTTTTTTTTCCCACTAAGGAAAAGTAGGGAGAGGAGTTCATTATCACTGGGAGATGAAGATGACAAAGTGTTGGGATCTCCCAAAATGCACACTAGGAATACGGAGGATCAATAAAAGTACAGCAAGAAAGGAAGACATTCTACAATTGCACAGAACCCCCTCACATTACAGTACACTTCTCTCCCCTCGATGTGGCCAACTTCTTCATCATCTCTGGTGAAATACTTGTGTCCCTTGAGAGCCTTCCTTTTTCTTTCTCCAAGTCAGCTTCAGCTCTGAGTTAGGGGCCCCTCCTCTATCATCCTTTCACTCTTCATCAGCATCTATCTGTACGAGCCTTAGTTTAGCCACTGACAAGGTGATTATGTTTCTTGATTTTCTTCCACACTCTGAAATCTAGGAAGTCAAGGACTATTTTGTTCAGCATCTCATTCCCAGCATTTAATAACATAAGACCTGCCATCTAGTTTGCATTCAATAAATGTATAATGTACAAATCGATGAACTTGATGTGAAAAACTAAATATGTCTCAATGTGTAGAGCTATAATTCAAAATTTGGGTTTTCATGAGGGTCAAAGAGACAATATTGTAAAAGTGGTTTGAGAACTGCAAAGTTTTAGGTAACGTTAGTTGTTTAAATATTTAAGTTGAAAACTGTGTCACTTGGAACTTAGAAAATTCAGTACTTTTTATTAGCAGTGGCACATAGGGACACAAGTCAAAAATAATTTACCTTAAAAAGTTGGCACTATATGGTGAGAAGGCAAATAACCTTTTTTTTAGAACAAGAATAAGAAACTTCTTTTAGAAAAATGTGCGTGAGGAACAGAATTTAACCTAAGAAATATCTGCAAACAATAAAAGCCATGATAGAGATACTAATGGTACTTGAGAAGGTAGTTATATATTTTTCAGACCTACATGCTGAGACTATGGTACTTAGCTTCAGGAAGAAAGAAAATTATTTTAGAAAGTGAATAATGTGATATTTAAAAAGTAGTGATGAATTTACTATTTTTCTTACTGCCTTAGAAATATAAAAATCTAGATTTTAGTACAAAAAGTAAATCTTCACTGAGTGACCAATCACCACTTTCTCCTTTCATTGCCGAAAAGCATTATTATTTAAAGTTTATTCACTTTTATTCCACTGTTTTTTATATAAACACCTAAAAATACTTTAACAAAAATACTTTAACTAAAACATCTAAAAATACTTTAATAATATCATTCATTTAAGTAATTAGGTTTTCAAAGGGGACATGAGGAATCATACCCTCATGTTTCTGTTATCCTCAAGTTCTGGAAATACAGTAAGGTGGGTGTATGTAATAGAGACTTAAAATGGGAAAGAAGAAATGATTTCCATTACATTTTTGAAAATCTGCTTGAAAGCAAAATGTCAAGGGATCCACATCACTAGATAAAAGAAACAAAGACACTATTTGATTATTTGTAAAATGTATATGTGTGTATGGAATTAATGATAAGTATAATCTTAACCATGTTACCATGGTTCATGGGATTTGTCACTTCTCACATCCGATACCCTTTAGACCAGTGGTCCCGGATGAACAGTCACAGCATCACCTGGAAATTTGTTAAAACGCAAATTTGCGGGCCCAATGCTGTACCCACTGAATCAGAATCCCTGGGGAATCTGTTTTAACAAGCGCTCCAGGTGAGTCACGTGCACACGAGCACCGGGAAAGGAGTGCTTTAATACATGCTGTCCTCAAGCCTTCCTAGGCATATGAAATACACAACAAGAGCACCCAAATCCTCATAAAAAAAAATGAAATATATGTCTCCAGGTGCACAAGTGTTTGTTGGATGAAATAAGGTCAAAGTAAAAACTACTATTCAAAAGGGAAGGTAAACACAGTAACTCTCCTAACAGTAGTATGGAACAATCATTCCTTGGGGATTCCACGTTCTCAAGAGAAAAAATGCAATTATTTTACTAAAAAAAACAGCCTGTATGTATAATTTTGTGGAAAATTATGAAATTACCTAGAAAATGACATTTAGTTTTAACTTTTCAGTGATATAGTTTAGGTTTCCATTTGTAAAAAGCTTCCTGATTTCATTTCCAAATAACTGAGCCAGAATAAAACTGTTATTGACACTTATCCCCCTGTGTTCCCTTGGGCCTGCTCATACTTGCCACAGACCTTACTAACTGAAACAATCTATTTTAAAAAGCTGACTACCTAGTTAATCAACGGCCTAAGGAAGAGCTAATGCCTCTTCTTTTTACTTCTCAGGGCCCACTGCTTGGTTATTTTATAATTTCAGGTCACTGTTCCCTAGCATTTGGGGCTGAAGAATAGGAAATAAAGCAATCAGTTTTGCTAGCTGTTCGTAGTTGTTATAAGAAGTTTAATAGGGAAGGATGTTGGCATTCATTAATGGTTAAAATGAGAAATTTGAAGAATAGGATTTTGATAGTTTATATGCCACTTAAATGCCTTTACTGATAAAAAGTAGTTTATTTTTTGTTTTTTTGAATTAAGTATAATAATGAAATGAGGTATTGCTGCAGACGAGGCTCAAACAACTACGTCTCAGTTAAAAACAAGGATTTCGGGCTTCCCTGGTGGCACAGTGGTTGGGAGTCCGCCTGCCGATGCAGGGGACACGGGTTCGTGCCCCAGTCCGGGAAGATCCCACATGCCACGGAGCGGCTGGGCCCGTAAGCCATGGCCGCTGAGCCTGCATGTCTGGAGACTGTGCTCCACAACGGGTGAGGCCACAGCAGTGAGAGGCCCGCGTACCGCAAAAAAAAAAGCAAAGAACAAGGATTTGGTAAGAGACACTGTTTGGTTGGGCTGGCTATTAAACAACAAGAAAGGAAATTATGTGTTTAGGCAGCTAGTTTATAAACAGTTTGCTTTTCTGTAGTGGAAAATATTGACCACTCACGAAGCAAATGTGAAACCTATCCCACAGGCCTCTCTACCAGTTTAAAATGGGGCCAGCTGTGGCCGGTGTGGACAGAATGGCTACTGGCTGCGGGGGGCTGCTCCTCTTTCTTGGCTCCTGGGTACCACAGGTGGGTTGGCCATAGGACCTGCAGGTTTGGTTCTGATGGGTCACCTAGACTTAAGACATTGCTATCTCATGACCCTGGGTATCATTTAAGCCCTAGTTTTAGGACATTGCTATCCCATGACCACATCCAAGAGGGCCAATTCAGATCTGGCCACAGAAAAACACCTATTACTGAATTTCAAATGGGACTTGGCAGTCATCACAGTCTCCCACTGATATGGAAATTGTGCCAAATACCTTAGTGCTGAGAAAGCAAAAGATCACCCAAACCCTTGTGGGCAAGACGTATGCATTTGAAGAATCTGGACAGCCAGTTAAAACTCTTTGTGAAATGCTATTAAACGTTTTAAAAACAGCTAGTAATCTGTAATGTAAAATTTTTACATTCCAAATGTCCAACTTGTCATTCAAGATAGACAACTTTAAGAACACATCAAAAAGAAAAGAAACATTTGGTTGGTATTAATTTATACTTTAGCCTTTTCTGTGTTATGCCATTTAAGATAGCAGTAACTTCTAATTAACATTTTATAATGTTCAAAACATCTCGTTTCTTAAGTGTTCCTTCCCCGCCCCCCCCCGCCCCCCCCCGCCTCATAAAACTACAAACACCTAGACCAAAGAAGAGTCCAGGATCATTTTCTTCATATACTATAGGTATAGAGATTGAGATCAGTTAAAACCCTAATAGCTAAAGATGTTAAAAAAAAAAAACAACCCTAATAGCATTCATTTTTAATAAACTGGCTGTGCCAGTTGTCATGGCAACCTAATCCTTATAAATACAATAACAAGACAGTAAATGTGAAGTTCTAAAAATAGCCATTTCCTTGGAAAACAGTAGAATGGCTGGGCCAAATAACTAAACTGCAAAGTGAAAAGCTAGTTATTTCAGTAATTTTAAAGTCAGCTTTATGGCATCTGAAAAGGTATGAACATACTATATGTAACCACTTGGTAATCACCGTTGTTATAGCTAATCCTTACAATGCAAAAACAGACCTTATTTTTTGTAATTACAGTCTTTTTCACCATCCCTCCCCACCAAAATTATTAGTTCATCACCAGTCTTCTAGCAATTTCCACCAGTGACAAGTGTACAGGGGCCTATTCAGGCTGGTTCCTCAGGCCACGCATGTCTACGGTGTTTGCACCTTCTCTCTCTACATAATATGGCTGCATCACTAAAACTCAAAGACTATCATTAACCTATATCCCCCTCTGCCTCACCCCCTACTCTGTCCCTCGAAAAGCTTCAACAAAACATAGAAACATAGTGGCAGGATGACATAGATACACACCTTTATAAAAAAGAACCACGATCTTCTGAAAGGCTTTCATGAAATGGATGTTGTCATAACAGTACTCTTGCACCTTCTGGAGGAGGATCAGCTCTGACTGGCCTTGGGAGCTGAACACAGCCAGGAGTGGAGCGTATTGCTGGAACAGAAGTGGGGAGTAAAACCATTTACTCTCATGAGAGGTGCAGGGCTGACACCACTTGAATCATAACAATAATCTGAAGGTTTGCTTAGAAAATCTTCACTTTGAGGATTATCTTATTCTAATATTGTGACCAATCAAAATGAATTTTTTTATCCCTGCACCTTATCAGATTTCTCTCGCTGTACCCACTAAAAGCAACCAAATATGAAATTCTGACTATATTAAAGATAACTGCCATGCTACTGTGTCTGTCTAATGGGTCCTGTGAAAATAAGACAGAGTTCCTAAGTTCCAAAGGTTCCCAGGGCTGCTGTGACCCCTCCATCACTGAAGTGTGGCTCTGCCACTGGAAGAGTGGGCATCTCCTTCCTAAACATCGCAGACCCCCCACATGTCATCTTTATGGTTTTGTTCATACTGTTCCCTTCGTCCCAAATGACCTTGGCTTCCAGTTGTTTGGCTGTTGTTTTCTCTAAGACCTACTCAGCTCAACACTTAACTCCTCCTCTGAGCCTTCCCTGGTCAACTTAACCTGCATAGGCTACTCACTGCTCTGTCTTCCTAAATACTGAGAGTAATCTGAATTTACATCCTACCTAGTTTAAACTAGGTACCTGTTGATTTCCCAATTCAAGTGTAAACTCTGAAGGCAGGCTCTAAGTCTTCCACTTGTCTTAAGACACTTTTATAGGGAGAGGACAATAAAAGCAAAAACATATGTATCTCCCCACAAAAATATACAATTTACACAATCGGTTGATTTCTTCCACCACTCAGTTTTCAAATTCTAATGTCAGCTTGTAGTTTACGTAAAAAATACTCATTAAGAATTTTTATCATGTAGAAGGAGAACCAATAGTTAGACTATATTTCCCTTTAAATATTGAATATATGACTATTCTGTGGATTTTCTGACATTGTTTTTAATAAGAATTTACCCTTAGGTATTTCATAAGCTCTTACATCTGAAACATTTTAGGTAGTGGCAAATTTGAAAAGAAGAACACTAGGAAGTATGTGTTTGGACTGATTAGAACACATCTATCACATTGTTAAGAGCTGCAGTTGGCCTGCAGCCAAGACTGTGCCTTGTTGGGACCTGGTACCTTCAGATGCTTGAGGGCTTGCTCGGCAACGAGCTCTTCCTTCTTGTTCCATTCCACAGCGTTCATTATACAGGTCCATAGCAGTCCAATCACTGCTGTTTCTGGAAGATCATTCCTCTTCATTTCTTCTTTAACATAGAGCACCACCTAAATTTCACAAAAAAAGGAGTCAGAGAGTAACAGACAGATGGGGAGTTCCCCTCTCACTGTGCCCGATCAGTAAAAGGTTAGGGGCAGACAAATATTCTGCTCAGTTCCTCCCTTCCTGGCATATACTCTCCAGTTACGAGAGGCAGGAAAAACACAATGATTTGTTCTCAAAGCAGATTTATTTTTAGTCCCCAAATTAATAGGCTTATCTCTGGCCAGGAGGTGCTGGATAATAGAAAATAAAAAAAGAGAATCGTGGTTTCTTAGGGGCTATACTCTTACAGGCAGGAACCCCTTTGAGTAAAGCAGGGCAAAGATTATTTAAGCCAGTTTGACTTTCTGGGGTTTGAAGAAGGCAACAGAGCTGTGAATTTTTACTTCCGATCCTTAACTTTAAACCTCTTGAAAAATGTCTTGGGCTTGTACAAGGCATTCTCTGCAATTCATCCTCTAATTATCGCTTTTGATGATCCTCATGCCTCATGTAAATAAACTGTAAAGTGCAAAGACTTTACATATGATACATATCAAAGCAGCAACCCTCAGCAGGCTATTTTCCCTTCAGAGTTACTTTTAAATATGCAAATGTATCCTAAAACCTGATCGTACGGAATAAAATCTGCCTAACAGTGTATCTTATATTAAACTTGTTTGGAAAAATCTTTCTCCTTTTGAATAGAATCACAAATAGAGGTGAGGGCCTCAGAAGTGATTAAAAACCATAATATCAATATATCTCACGTGTACTACTTTGTGAGTAGTACAGCTATTTTTCTCCCTTCCTTTTTTTTAATGAAAATACGTTGCTTTCTTTCCTGCTGGCCTGGGGTACAGAGGGGTCAGCTGTGGGTTAAGCAGCCTTTGAGAACCGAAGGAACTGGGAAGTCCTAGTCCCCCAGCTGCAAAGAAAGGTGACATGTCTGCACCTAAAGGTATCGCAGTGTTATTTGGTTTGCTTTTTTTCCCCCATGTTAAATCATGTTCAAGTTCTTTGCTTGGAGAAAGATTACTGAATATATTGCTGACCTTAATGCCATGAGACTTAGGACCAACACCTCCACCTGCTGGACAGCATCAGTCCGGAATTCTCCAGTCTTAAACTGCAAAAGGTACCTTGCAAGGCTGCGAGCACGCAGGATAGTGAGGATTTGGGACTTGGGAGTAAGTGGCAAAAGGAAAGGACTCTTTATGCAATTTTTGAATTATCATGTAAAAGTTTTTAAAGTTCAAATAGGAAGTTTTCTTCAGGCAGGACTTAAAAAAAAAAAAGATACAATCATAGCCATATGAAAGATAGCTATACAAGAAGGTAGTATTTATGTTATGTGAATACGCAACTATTATGAGTGGGATCCAATGAGCCACTGGTCCAACTGGTCTTTACCCATGATATGACTGCAAAATCACCCCTTTTTTGTCTTAAAATTAAAACCTATATATATTCACCCAATACTTAACCATATTATGTAATCTGCAATAAAATGGGAAAACCACCATAAATCGAGGTATACTGCTAGTGGAGAGTAAATCTATTCAACAGATGAAACATTCTGACAACCATAGCAACCTGGTAAATAAGTCACTTGTGTGGAAATACTCATTATTTTCTGGAACATCCTGGAGGAGTCTGAATCAATACTTTGAAATCGAGCTCATTTAAATGGTATGAAAAGGGCCTGGAGTTCATAGCAATAAACAAAGGGAGGTCTCCTTAAGGGAGGTAAAGCTTGTGCTGCACAGGCTACATCATCCCTCTCGCTGAACGGGTTTGCAGTGATGTCAGTCCATGGTCCCCACCTCCTTGATCGGGCATTCCTGAGAAAGACGCTCCTGGAGCTCCTTCTGCAGCTCCTTCCTGGTGCCCAGGGACTGCTGGACTCGGAGGAAGTCAGAGAGCTCCTTAAGACCTGCGTCAGTGAAGTACTGAGCAAAATGATCCACGCTCTGTCTGTTAACTGGAAAGAGCTCCTGGGAGAGAAAAGAAGAGAGACTGTTACACAACATGCCATTCACATTTCAGCAAGCGTAAAGAACAACATTTTCATATTAAGAGAACACTTAGAATATCTCATATTTGGAAGAAAAGAAGAAGGATGGAGTTTTTCAAAAGAATAAATCTCGGATATATTTCTTGAGCATCTGCTAAGGTACCTTCCAAAATTAGGCAATTTGACAAAGAAAGAGAATAAAAAATGCTAAGCAAATTACATAAACTAGTTGCACTCATTTGGCACTGCTATTTCCTTTTTCTTTTACTTTAATCAAAGTGCAGCACGTACAAAAACAGAACTAAATTTGCTAAATTAAGTACCAATAAGATGATAACCCTGAATAACGTTGGGATTATTTTAAACCGACTAGAAAAAACTGAAATCATTAACCACACTGTTTCCTTAACTATGAGTTAACAGACCAAAGCCAGTTTTAGTAATGCTGAAATGATCTGAGATAATATGAGGAAAACAACATTGACTATTATCATCTCGAGGACCTCTATTCAGCATTTCATTAAGGAAAATGCTGCTATTATTCTAAAATAACAGCTCAGAGCTAAAGGGAATTTTTGTTGTATCTCTTAACGATGGTGGCTCTAAATTAAGTTCATGGCGAGATCTAATCTAAATCCGCCCTACCATCTCTTCAGTTCATTACATAATTCTGCTGGAAATTTTTTAAAAGAGCAGCACACCATGGCTGCTCTCATATTCTCACCTCACTTCCATTTCACCTTACACAGCTCGGCGGAGTCTCAGGAACACTTAGTCATGTTCTAACCCTGTGTGACGCCAACACCCAACTAAGAAAGGAAGGCAATTTTCAAAGCTCTCACATTTTTCAGACTGCTGCAGAGTCTATAAAATAGATCCAAACTTTTATGATGGTGAGATTTGCATATATAGATGGCCAATGGCTATGTGGCTTCAATAAAAATCTCAGAAGAAAGATCTGCAACGAGTTTGCCACCAAGCATAGGGACATAGCCAGATGGCTTCTGTCATGACTCAAATTTCAATATTCTCTGTACCATCATCCCATAATTTGCCTTGTTGAGTCATCAGTTTCAAAATGTCAGAACAGAGTTGGTGGGAGCAGCTATCAAACACACATTCATGTTAAAGCAAACATTTCATACCTGACTGAAACGTTGTCACTGATATTTATTCTACCATTCAAGAGGACTTTCAAATTTGTGGGGGCAGGGAACTAGTTTAATTTTGAGTTTCTTCTATGAATCAAGAGGTGGTGGGCATTTTACTCATAATTGTAAAAAGTAGAAATTTTTCTACAAAAATAAACTAAGTCTCAACAAGGCTAAGCAGCTTGACCCAAATTATGCAGCCAGAAATATTTAAGGGCATAGCTGTGTGACCCCAAAGGCAATAATTACTCTGTTACTCATGCCAGCATTCAATACTCAATTTAGGGAGAATGTGACTGCAACTTCTGATGGAAAGTTATGTTCAGAGTAAGACATCATCAAACATGTTACTAGTGGTTTTTTATTTATTTTTATGAACTATAACCACAGTCCTTATGAATGATACATAACATCTTAAAAATTATTATTCAGATTAAACTGAGCTAAAATCAGTATAAATCATGTCATGACCTTTACTAACTTGGAACATAGTTTGCATTTGTTACAAAAATCCTACCCAAGGCTTCCCTGGTGGCACAGTGGTTGAGAGTCCGCCTGCCGATGCAGGGGACACGGGTTCGTGCCCAGGTCCGGGAGGATCCCACATGCCATGAAGCGGCTGGGCCCGTGAGCCATGGCCGCTGAGCCTGCGCGTCCGGAGCCTGTGCTCCGCAACGGGAGAGGCCACAACAGTGAGAGGCCCGCGTACTGCAAAAAAAAAAAAAAAAAAAAATCCTACCCAGGTAAAAACCTTTATCACCTCATCCCTAGATCAAGGTCTCCCTACTTCTGCCCTTCCTCCTGAATCTGCTCCCGATGCAACAGCCAGAGAGATCCTGTTAAGACCCCAAAATCACATTATGCATGTTTTGCAGAGACTTTTCCAAAAAACTTCTCATCTTACTCAGAATAAAAGCCGAAGTTCTTAGAGGATAGGGGACCTGCTATGACTCTGACCTGATCTCCTACATTTTTGCTCTTACTAATTACCCTCTCTTTCTTGCTGTCCCCAACATGCCACGCCTCAAAGCCTTTGCGTTTTCTGCTGCCTTTGCCTGGAATACTCTTCCTGGAGATATCTAAATAGATCGCTTCTTCACACAAATGTCACCTTATCAGAGAGGCCTTTTCATACCACACTGACACTCCTCAGTGCTTCCCTATTTAGCTTTTCTCTCGGAGCACTCTTCACTTTTTATTATACCATGTATTATTTTAATTGTTTATTTAGTTTATTGCCTGTCCCCCTGAAACAGAATGTAAGCCCCATAAAGGCACAGGTTGCCTGCTTGATTTCTTTCAATATCTTCAGCTCCTAGAAAAGTTTCTAGCCAATGTCTTGATCATTGTTCCCTTTTCCAGGGATGCGGGCATGATATCAGGCAGGCATGGTTCTAAGGCACAGCCACCCTGTCCTCATGGAGTTTCTGGTAGAAACTGCTACCTATGCTTTTCATGTTCAAAACATATGTAGACAAAGAAACCTAGCAAGAACAGTTAAATGATGTGTATTTTTCAAAAAGGAAATACATTAAAAAATTTTTAATGAAGTAACCTAATTAAGTTAACCAAGCTCTGCCTATTGGCATCTTTAAGGAACCATGCTTTAAGAAATAACTGAGTCTTTTGTGGTTAAGTTGTAATTGTATCTTTGTTCCTAATAATTCACCCCCCACCCCTCTCCCTTAAACAAGTATTCAGTGAAGACCCTCCTTGCTGTATCTGTCTTCACAGGTGGAGAAGTAGCCCATGAGTGGACTAAATCTTCCTACCCCACGCCAGGCTTCTCCGTGACTTCTTTTGACGAAAGAAGGTGAGCTTTTAAAGCACCGGAATGTCTCCCTTCAGTCACCTGTGTTCCTGTCCTCTGCCATGAGGACAGAATAGCCCAGATATGAGCTGCTCCTTCAGCCTGGGACCCAGAATGAAAGGGCTGGGGCCTTGCCAAGATACAGCTAATCCACAGACTCAGGGACACGAATATATTCCTTCATATGAACTTCCACCCACATCAGCAACCTATTCACTTGTCTTCTGTGACTTCTATATACCCTTCATTGCTAGAGAGTAGGTTCCATGAAGGCAGGAAACTTTTCTGTCCTGTCTCTACTGGCTCCACAGCTTCTAGGACTGTGCCTGGCACAGAGCAGGCACTTAATAAATATAAGTTAAATGAAAAGTATTATCAGTGGCAGAAATTAACAAGAATCTAGACTTAATTTTTCTTCTTTATCATATTATAAAGACTTCCAAGACCCAAATAGGGCTATTTTAGGTAAACCTCAAGAGATAAAGGAATTTTAAGTCATTGAAAATAAAAGAGTTTACAATGAGCCAGATTTGGAATTATCCCACGAATCAACACCCTTGCACAGAACACAATGGAAGAGAAAACAGGTAAGTAACTAGGTAAAGAGAAGATGGCAAGCATGTCTTGCAATTTTAGACTTTGTCCTAAAATTTTAAAAGCAATTTCACTTGAAGCAATCTCTGTCATCTGCACAGCTGTTGCTTCTGGCAGAAATTATAGGGAGCAGATAGGAATTATGAGGACAAAATATTTTTCCTGATTTTCTTTGAAAAATACAAAGAGAAGTAAAAATATAATCAAGCAATCATGATACTGGGAGCTTCAAATTACTACTATTAACTTGTTAGCTTTCTTAAATATCTAAGTATTTCCAAGGAATCTTAGTATAAACAAGGAATCTTCCCTAACCTTTTTTTTTTTTAAATGTTTTATTGAAGTATAGTTGATTTAAGCTTATAGTTTTGTTTTGTTTTGTTTTTTCCGGTATGCGGCCTCTCACTGTTGTGGCCTATCCCGTTGCGGAGCACAGGCTCCGGACGCGCAGGCTCAGCGGCCATGGCTCACGGGCCCAGCTGCTCCGCGGCATGTGGGATCTTCCCGGACCGGGGCACGAACCCGTGTCCCCTGCATCGGCAGGCGGACTCTCAACCACTGCGCCACCAGGGAAGCCCAACCTTTTATTTTGTTAACAAACTAACGTGTATTTGAGGTCAGTGTCATTCACCTATGACCCAAGATAATCACTAATGTCTAATTAGGTGGGATTGATGTGACTTTAAATTTCATATTAAAACTTTACATTTCTATAGTTATTAGCTGCAAAAGAGTTAATTCTGATAAATGTTATCACTATGTCAACAAACTTCTAAATTTGAAAGTCTCTGTACTCCCTATGACTCTTTAATTTTATCATTCCATTTATTTATGCAACAAAGATTAAACTGGAATTAGTTTCTATCTGCCAATAATACAGAAATAAAAAGAACCATGTTCCAATTCGACATAGACTCAGTTATGTATTACATCACAATTGACAGAGCCAAGGCAGAAGCATGAAACATACAACCCTTTGCCCAGACAACACTTACAAGTAGCCTCTTGTCTAAGTTGGCTTTTCTCAAAGAGGAGGTAACAGAGTTGGCATCTTTTTCTGCCATCCACGCTTTAAAAAGCTTGACAGCAAATGAGGCTGCAATGCCTGTTAAAAAAAAAAAAAAGAAGAGTAAACCTTTTATAACAAAAACCACTTGTGATGATGTACAAGGCAACATTTCCCATTAGGCGTCCTGAAATGACTAAATAACTCAAAGACTTGATTTGGCACAAAGGAAAAATGGAAAGCTCTCTAGGCACTGTACTATTCATTACTCAAGAAAATATTTTCATAAGAAGGGAAAAAAAATGTTAAAGTACTTTTCAAAGTTGGACTCCCTAATTCCAACCTGTTATAACTGTAAATTTATTTATTTTTACCTTGGTCAAAACCAGATTCAAAGCCAAGGATCTTCTAATGTTTTGCCTCTATTTCACCCTGTGGTTCACCAGTATTTCATATTTTTAACCGTGATCCTGAGGTACACCAAATAAATCGAAAGCCATAAAACTGAAATGTCAACATGTCAACTAATTTGCTGATAAATAATATCAGTGAAAGAACATCAATGGTGACCGGTATAAATAAATAAAGCTATAGATGAACATGCATCATTTACTTCACAGTTTTGCTTTTTGTAAAAAGCATTTTAAAATATTCACGAGTTAAGGTATGAAAATGTCAGTGCTGTTTTAAGCTGAAATCTTTTCTGGATATTTTAAAAGAGATTTTAAAAATAGCTATGTTGGGCTTCCCTGGTGGCGCTGTGGTTGAGGGTCCGCCTGCCGATGCAGGGGACACGGGTTCACGCCCCGGTCCGGGAGGATCCCACATGCCGCGGAGCGGCTGGGCCCGTGAGCCGTGGCCGCTGAGCCTGCGCGTCCGGAGCCTGTGTTCCACAGCGGGAGAGCCCACAACAGTGAGAGGCCCGCGAACCGCAAAAAAAAAAAAAAAAAAAGAAAAGCTATGTTAATCAGGAATCTACTCAATTACATACCCATATTTATAATAAGATTTATTTCCAACATAAATAATCAGATAACTAATAGCTTTTCTGTGAACACTCCAGATTTCTAAATTAATGTTGCATTTGTTTAATGAAGAGTTAAGGAGTAGTTGAAATATTAAACTGATTTTTCTGAGTTGAAGGCTTCAGTATCGTTGATGGTCTAAGCAGTGTCTATTCTCCTTTCCTCTTTCCTAAGAGAGTTCCCATGTTGCTCAGGCCAGGTGACTTCCATCTAATTAGTCTAAGCCCTGGCACCACCTTCTTCTGCAATGATTAGCCTAGTGATCTAAGTTGTTGGCCATAGCATCCCCCAACAATTACTACTGGGTGGGACATGTGGCCAATTTCAGCCAATCAGCTGAAGGCAAGATAAATTATCCTATGTTCAGAAGTCTCTTCTACTGAACCTGAATGAAGACGCCTGTGCCATAACTGGACTAGCAGACTTCTTTTAAAGGCTAAGGAGTCCACCCTAGGAATGAAGTCGATGCTATGGTAATGGGGGAAAATGCCTGAGTCCCGAATGATATTGCTGTTCACCCTGAAGTCTGCTCTGCTTTTATATTTATTGTTACATAAGAAATAAATGCCCTTGGTGGGGCTGGGTGGGGGGAATAACTTAGAAGGTTGGAATTAATATATACATACTACTATATATAAAATAGGTAACAAACAAGGACATACTGTATAGCACCATGAACTATACTCAATATTTTATAGTAACCTATAAGGGAAAAGAATCTGAAAAAGAATGTGTGTGTGTGTGTGTGTGTAACTGAATCACTCTGCTATACATCTGAAACTAACACAACATTGTAAATCAACTATACTGCAAAAAAAATTTAAAAAAAAGAAAGAAAGAAAAAAAGAAATGCCCTTGTATACAAATTTGGGTCTTGTCTTCCAGTTACTTGCTGGTAAACAAATTCAATTGAGATATATATATAAAATATAATTTATACAGACACCAACTTTACCCAATTCTTTTCTTTTGAATAGCAGAGAAACTAAGCCCCCCAAATTGTCTATGACAATAACACCTGTGATATGACCTGGAGAATTTTATGTTATCAACTTGTTGACCTGGATTTTTAACATTACCATTCGTTCCAAAAGTCAATATAAAACATAATATAAATTTATGTAATTAAATAAAAATAAAGATAACAGATCTTGTAATCCTCATTGCAAGTAAGAGAAATAAAGCATGCTTGAAACTAGGAGTCTAAAAACGAGGCTCAAACCTATCATTTTACATTAAAAGTGGCTCTTGGTGGAAGGACTGGAGAAATTTCTTTGTACTTGAGATTCTACTGAGTGGAGGGTCTCCCCATAGCCATTTGTTGGGTGGGAGGTTGGGGAAAAGGTATAATTTCATAATCCCTTCCTATTTGGGAAGCAGAAGCTTAATACTTTTGTTTCTAGAGATGCTGGAGCATAAAGAAAAACCATAATGACATAGGTACTACATAACTTCCATAACAAAGGTATTTTTCTTCTCCTTTCCTACCCCTCTAACATTTTACCATAAAAAATTTTAAACATAAGAAAAGTTGAACAATAAACACTCATTTACTCACCATCTAGATTCTATAACAGTTAATATTTTGCTGCATTTGCTTTATCAGGTCTGTCCATTTATCCTTCTAATAATTTATTTTTTAATACATTTCAAAAGAAATTGTATACATCACTTAGGTTTTTAATACAACCAGAAAGGCAATTATTTTCTGTTATAAACACTAGGAATAATCTGATGTAATTAATATTTACTGTTTACATTTTATCTTGTCTTCCTAGTATAAAATGTCTAGTACCATAAGTAAAACACGAAGGATCATGAATTCTCTTCAGGAGAATACTTTAAAGTGTTATAGTATTAACAATATATTAATAACAATTAGAGAGCCTGAAAACTATAGAGAATCTCTAAATAATATCATTTGACTCTTGGTTTACTATTCTTTTTTTTTTTTTCGGTACACGGGCCTCTCACTGTTGTAGCCTCTCTCGTTGCGGAGCACAGCCTCCGGACATGCAGGCTCAGCGGCCATGGCTCACGGGCCCAGCCGCTCTGCGGCATGTGGGATCTTCCCAGACCGGGGCACGAACCCACGTTCCCTGCATCAGCAGGCGGACTCTCAACCACTGCGCCACCAAGGAAGCCCTAGTTTACTATTCTTTTCTCAGCTACAAGAAACTGTAACTCATTTCACTGCAGGTATTAATGAGGCTGGGACTTCACATTTATAGGAGAAAAACCAAGTTCTAAGAAGAAACAGATGTTTTCACAAAAGCTCTTTTATTTTTAAGAAAAAAAGAACTCTTTGTTTTGTGTTGCATTATAATTTGAATATCATTATCCTCCTGCAAGAAAAAAAGCCCACTTTTGTATTATTCTATAATCAAGTAATCATATGTATGCCCATCAAACTCTTAATGTCTTAAAATTAAAGCAAAACTCTGAGGCAGCCACCTGGACTTCTAAAACAGAATGAATATCTTAAAAATGTGATCTAAATGAACATTTGAGCACAACATCTTGAGGGGAAACAGTTCAGAAGAATGGCCCCAACCAGGGAAATGAAAAACTGTTTAAGGGGGCATTTAGGAATGTGAAGGGCCATTTTTGGCTATTCTGCTAAATGCAGGTGGGTGTTTTAGGCTGGCATTCTGTGTCTGAGGGCAAAAAGGTTAAATGACTCACAAAGCACAAAAGAGTCCTGCACAATGAAGCAATGTCCCAACAAAGTATGCCAGTAAGCATCTATGTTGAGAGAAATGGTTTGGACCAGATCAATTTCAGGGTATTTGACCTAGGCATTGAGTCTTAAACCAAAAATTCCAGCTTATTATTATTCTTTATTTGTCTTTGTATAGGTGTGCATATTTTTTCTCCTAATTGCCTACAATAAACATGTACAATTCTCTTATTGTTTGAAGACACACACTCAAACACACACACGTCTCTTACATGGAGGATGGGTGGGAAGTAGAGAACACTAAGAAGAGGTACTGCTATTTTTCTATCTTTGGCTTTTCTTTTCTTTTCACATCTGACAGGTAAGAAAATGAGCATAAATACCTTCTTTGACTAAGCTGTCAGTGAAGAGACTGGTGAGGATGTTGGCAGGAAGGTTGCCATTGCCCAGCAGAATCCCAGACAGCATTGCCAACTTTGTCTGCTCTGCTTCAGAAAAGGCTTTAAGGAAGAGGAGAAGCTGTGGGTCAAACAAAAGAAACCATGTCTATAAAGTAAAGGACTAAGGTAGAAAAATAACACACAGTGTACGTCCATAGCTAGACGGCACACAACTGGTGGGTCTTACGCAGCACACTTCTTATTCATTGGAGACACACCCATATGTTCGATTATAAATTGGATGCTTTATCATAGTTCCTTTCTTCCAAGTTCACTTACAACAAAGCTATAGATAGCATTCAGGGGAAGGAAAACAGACATTTGGAGAACAATGTAAATGGGTCACATAAATAATTTACATTCGACTTTGTATATGACAAGGTGTAAGTATTACAAAGCGTTTTCTGAAATACACTATTGCCTTTCATATGTTTTTCACTTCTATGCATGGTCCCCCCTCCATCCTCATCCTACAATACATCTACCCATCTTCTTTGGGTTATAACAAAAAACAAACAAACAAAAAAAAACAGGAGTCAATAAGCTTTGACATGTAGCATATACTTTTCTGAGCCCACAGCATAAAAAACTTTTTAAAAACAAGACTGCTGGGTGAAAAAAGGGTTTTCTAGGTTCTTGATGCCTCTTTTAAAATAATGAGATTCAACACAACATTGTAAATCTGCTATACTTCAATAAAAAATAAAGTTAAAATAAAAAAATAAAAACAATAAGATATATAAACAAACAAACAAACAAAAATGAAATTCAAACTAGGTATTTCCTAGATCATACAGTTTTACCACCAGCCCTGGTGATGAGGTAATGATGGATGTAAGATAAAGAAAAGTTCCTAGCAGAGTAAAGGCCTCTGCTGTGATTTTGTAGTGAGAGGATGACAGTGTTGTTTGGGTCCTTCTGGGTCACAATGCTGCCATCCTCTTATCCCAGCAGTAGGGAAAGTAACAAAGTAGCAACCCCAGAATGGTTGAAGGGAAGCCAAAGCAAAGGGGATTAGACCCCACTTGCCATTCTGAATTCTAAGAGTATCCAGGCTTATAGAATGCCCTCCTTCCTAACCCTCCTCCACTTAGTGCTTTGACTATATTATATTTATACTCCATGGTTATTTTCTGTTTCAACAGACCTTGGGCATGTTACTGAGATTCCCCAGGGCCCAGTATCACTATCGGGGCCCTGTTGACTTTTTCATTACTCTGTACCGACAAAAAATCACTGGCATCAATATAGGCTTATTAAATGTTTTAGGGCCAATGAAATTCCATTAGCTCTGTGCAGTGGGTAGGACTATATTAATTTACCATTCCCAACAGTTAAAGGATTATTACCTTACAGAGAGGTTATGTGACTCCAAATATTTATATGATGAGTAAGTGGCAGAACTGGAACCAACCAGTCCATTTCACTCCCAATTTATGCCTATTAAAATCTCAATGATTTAAAAAGAAGTCACTTTCTAAGTTCACAAGAAAAGAGGGAGTGAGGGAAGGAGGTATCAATGGTTAAAGCTCCAGCGAGTCCCAGGAATGGGGTAAAAAAAACCAACAAAACTGTAGATACTTTATATCAATCTGGCTTCTTTCTCTTATTATCAAAATAAGTAAGACTGAAGTAAATAATGAAAAATAGCCCCCAAGATTAAAATATTAACACTACTTGTTTAAGCACGTTAATATACTCACATGCATCAAAAAACCCCTCAATTATAGCAAGATGGTGCAAAAATTATATCTTTTCTTAAAATTAATATCCACATTGCTCAATTATACTAGTCAGCATTAAAATCAGATGCTACATGTATTGCAGCAGAATTTTCTTTAAAAATTGGATACACTGGGCTTTCCTGGTGGCGCAGTGGTTGAGAGTCCGCCTGCCGATGCAGGGGACGTGGGTTCGTGCCCTGGTCCGGGAAGATCCCACATGCCGCCGAGTGGCTGGGCCCGTGAGCCATGGCCCCTGAGCCTGCACGTCCGGAGCCTGTGCTCCGCAATGGAAGAGGCCACAACAGTGAGACGCCCGCGTACCGCAGAAAAAAAAAAAAAAGGATACACTGTGAAAAATAAATAATTCTTGAGAGCATGTTCATCAAATGAATCAAACAGAAAGTTTTCAAGGTTCAAATGAACTAAAAGAAAAACATGAGTGATATTATTAGGCAAAATGATAAGATGTTTATTTGAATGCTTTAACATCATTTTTTTGTCATATCTATCCCTCTATTTTAATGATGCACTTGTTATTTTCTAAACATCTATCAATATAATGGACCACTTTTATCCATTTAAATGTTTTTTCATGTTAAAAAAAGTAATACCTGCTAGTAGAACAAATCTAACAACACAGAATAATATAAAAATGTGAGTAATCTCCTCTTTAATCCTATTTCCTTACAATTAACATTATTAACAGTCTGACGTGTTCTTTCAGATTTCTAAATGCAATTATATATGTCTACATTTTATAAATAACTAGATGCATATACACATGCTTCTACTGAATTATGCACTGATAATAAATAGCTCAAACTTGTTAAGTGAAGCAGACAGTCTTCTGAACACTTCATGTGTATTAATAATTACAAAAGTCTTGATCCTCACTTTAAGACAAAGAAATCTGAGGCACAAAGAACTTAAGTGACCTGCCTAAGGTTAAACTTCTACCAAATGGTTGCTTTTTCACTCAACAATTCATCATAGACATTTTCTATTATCAATTCACGTGGTTGTGCCTCATTCTTTAAATGACTGCATATTATTCCACTATATTGAGAGACCATAATTTAATAACCCATCTCCCACCATGAACATTTGGGTTACATCTCAATACTGTGATGAACATCTTTATACATATAGTTGTATGTATCCATGCTGAAGGATTCTTTTAAGTGTGAAAGTTGAGTCATGGAGAATGTAAATTTAAAACAATGATTTTACTGTTTAGATGTTCTTCATTATACATGGAACCACTTTGAACAAAGGAAAGTAAGAGTAGGTAAGCAGCAAAGTAGATGTTGCAAAGTAACAAAGTAAGTAACAAAGTAGATGATTTCTTTATTCTCTTGGTTTATAATTTAGGCATATACCTAAAATCAGAGTAACAAGTTAATGTAGTGACTGCTATATATAAATACAGAGGAGCTACAAATTAGAAGGAGGAACATGCTGCAGTTTCTGAAAAGAGGGCTTCTTTAATAAGGTGCTATTGTTTATTTGGCTACTTATTAGAGGCCAATTACTGTATTAAGTACCTTATAGCTCATCTCATTTATTAGTACAACAACCATAAAGTATGTACTTTTATTGCAGCTATTTTATAGATGAGAAAAACCACTGAGATTTACACCCAGACACTATTTCCAAAGACGTGCTTCTATCCCCTTTGCTAAACTGTATCTTCTAAAATTAAGGAATTTTACTGAGTATTAGCTGCTGTGCTATGCTCTTTCACAAGCTTTAACTAATTACATATTCTGTAAAGTTATTCCTTTGAACAAAGCATGCTGGCTTACATTAAACATGAAGGAAAAATTCTAGGCTAATCATGTTTTCTTTCTACAGCTATTAGCTAATGATCTGTCATACTCATTCCTTCATTCAACAAACATTTATTAAAAACTTAAGAGGTCCATGGTACTTCTGGACCATCACTATAAAAGCAAAATTTTTGTCCCTCTTCATTTCATCATTTTAGCAAACAGAGCATTACAGTTGAATTTTTACCTTTTTCATTTCATCCTCAAATGCCTTTTCCAAATACTTATATCTCCTGATGAGTTTATTGAAGACCTAAACATAAAAGAGAACCAGTCAATATTACGTGAACAATTTTAAAAGGCAATAGAAGGAGGTGTAGAAACTCACCCTAACTACAAGGGTCTACACTAATAAAAAGGTGTAGTTAAACATTCTCAGACTGTGGTATGAGAACTATCAGCATTTCAAGGAGTTATTATGACCTGAGGGAAAAAGAGGATCAAAATGCACATGTAGAATAAAACAAATTCATTTGAGAATGTAACAGGTGAGAACCAAAAATAACTTTGATGAAAATGAAATGAATATAATTTTAAAACTGTGTGATGTAGAGATTGAAAATAACTGAAACTAAGGGGATCATAGATAGAATCACTTACACGCTGGATATGATGAAGAGGAGATCAGAGTTCAGGAGAGATTATACTCCAGGTGAACACAAACATGATTTCAGCAGATGAGCAATAAAGATTACTGGCCTCCACAATCTAGTTAGAATTCTCAAGCAGGGTTTGCAACTGTGTCAGTGGAATTCTGGACTGTTTTTAAGAGGAATGATGTTTGTTATGGATTGAGTTCGTGTTCCTCCTAAATTCATATGTTGAAGTCCTACCCTCAATGTGACCATTTGGAGGTAGGGACTTCGGGACAGGGTTAAGTGAGGTCATAAGGGTGGGGCCCTAGTCTGACAGGACTGATGGTCTTCTAAGAGCCAGGAAAGGAAACCTCACAAGGAACCAAATCCATTGGCACCTTGATCTTGGACTTCCCAGCCTCCCAAACTGCAAGAAATAATATTCTCTTGTTTAAGCCACCCAGTCTGTGGTATTTTGTTACGGCAGCCCGAACAGACTAATACAATGTTCTTATTTAAATGGGGATTTTATAAATATTATTTTAATAAGTGTCAAAATGATTTCTGAATACAATTCTTTTCTCTTATACCCATGTGATATACTTTCATCTAAAACTCTGTGTTTCTTCCTTAATGTGATCAAGATGGAGTTCAAGAGTAAAAATTATAGTGTTGCCCTTTATGAGGAAAGAAAAGTGAGCCAGGAGGGAATTGATAATGCAATAAGGAAAAAAATAAATAAACTATACTGAAGTCCCACAAATTTGATTTTCAACTTACACCAGCACTCACATATTTCTTAGTGTGATTATCATCAGGAAAAAGAATTCTCCTTATCCAAGAATGATTATCCAAATCCCCACAGGTAAATGTTTACATATGAAAGCAAAAGTCATTATACTACCAAAGTACTCTTCAATGAACTAATTAACATTTAACTTCCACTCAAATTAACTTCCACTCAAATACCTTTATATTATACAATTAACTTCCACTCAATATACAATTAACTTCTTATTATTAACTTATACAATTAACTTCCACTCAAATACCTTTCTCAATTTAATCTCTCTCCCTGACTACCCCATTGACCTCTGTCAGTCTATCAGTATATAATAATGTTTAATAAACTTAGAAACAATAATGTATCAAAAGTTCTTTCAAATATACATATTCCATATGAAAAAATAAATCATAAGTAAAAGAAACTATCCTATTTAGAAATAATGATGAGGTTAAGTCTATATAGATCTTTTCAATTTTATGAGAATAGTAGAGTACTGATTTTTCTTCCAGGCCTTCTTATCTTTCTTTCCCAGTGGGACTCAAACAGCAAATAATACACCTTGTACTTGCATTAATTTAATCCTAACAAAAATCCTCTGAGGAAGGTAAGGCAGGCGTTAACATCATTGACAGACCTGGAAACTGCTACTAAGTATCAGAGCAGGAACAGAACTCAGAAATTCTGATCCTCAGTGAACTGTACTTATCTAATATATCATAAGGCGAGAGAGAATTTTAAATGAACAGCTTTTGAATTGAGAACATCTGCTTCAGTATCCACCTGGCCCAAGGTGTTTGTGGCCATTGACATAAGACAGTAGAAGCACAGATTTAGAGAGGACAGGTTAGAACATCATCCACTGAACCCACGTGCTTAAGCTTTTGGTCCATTTTTAAAGATTTCCTTCGTTTTTATCTATTACACATTTCTTAAATATAAAAAAAGGGGAATAAATATCTATGCTAAAATAGCATGTGATTAAAATAATGATTTTTGAAGTTTAAATTCTTAATGGCCACATATCCCAAATTACTCAGCTTAGCATGCCTTACACATTTTAATAAACAAAGTAAAGACAGTTTCTAGCATCTGAAATCACGTAGGTGCCAGGGATTCCTATGGCCTTTTTCATATACATATATATATATATATATATATATAATGAAATGTGTAAAACAAGAAGACTTGTTGACCTGGGACTTGCCTTCATGGTTTAGATGGGAATAAAAACTGACTTTTAAGAAGAGTCAGTGAAAGAATCAGAATAGGAACACACCAACCCTAAGCTGGCTGGTCACAATGCACATATGTTCAGCTTTAGAAGGTAATGTCTACAAGGTTGTCCCATTTTACACTACCACCGCTTCCTGATCTTCACCAGGGCCTAAATACTTCTTAATTTTCACAATCTAATGAATGCAAAAGGGTATCTCGATATTAATTGAAATTTTCTCAATGAGTTTGAACTCATTTCCTTTGTTTTTTGGAGGAATTGTGTTTCCTCTTTTCTGAAATGCCTGTAAGTCTTTTCCTAATAGGTTGCTTGTCCTTGTCTTATTGACTTACAGTTCTTTATCTAATCTGGATATGAATCCGTTATCGGTTTTATGTATTACAAGTTTCTTCCTGCCTCTTTCTTTTAAACAGCTACCTGAGAGTCTGTTAATATGAATTACTAAACTCTATGGATTGACTTATATATTGTTTTCATCCTTTGATGTTATTACAAGCAACACTATAATAACTGTCGCTGTTTGCGTCACTTTACACATGCCACTGTCTGCAGGATGAAGTCCTCGAAGTAGAATTGCTGAGTCAAAGGGAATGTGTAGTTTTAGTTTTGAAAGATAGTGCTAAACTGCTCTCCCTAAAGCTTGGACCAATATATACTCCACCAGAAATTATGATTCCCCATATCTCTTATAGGTGAAAGGTAAAGAAACTCTACTTTGGTGAAGCTTTAATGTCCGTTATTACGAATGCAATTCAGTATCTCTTCCTATGCTTAAGACCTATCTAATATCCCTATTTAGAAAGTGGCCTGTAGAATTTCTGAACCTAATGTTTTCCTAAATCCTGTTCAAATGTTTCCCTTCCAGTACAACAATCTCTCAGTGACAGGCTCTACCTGAGCATAGTTTCGGATGGTTTCGTGATCTTCATTTGCTGAAAACACACAGTGGTTGGTCATCTTGGTCTTGTCACCATCATCTATGCGTGTTCCTCCAGGGGCTAAAAAGGGAAAGGTAATGACCATTAGGACGATGCTGAAATCAGAAGAGCATTTGCAGAAGAGATCAATTCCTGCACATCAAGGAAAACAATAAAGGTAGACGTCACATAAAGTTTCATAGAATGATGTGCATGTGTAGACACACACAGTTTTTAGATTATCGTCTTAATAAAATTTTGTACAGGTGGTTGTATTTATTACAAAGGGCTAATTAAACCTTGTGCATAAATGAATTGCATGAAAATAGACTCCTGAAGGAGGTGACTTTTCTAAAAACTAATTTACTTATAAAAGATGCGTACATGTTATGATTTGTTTACATTTCTAACATAATGCAAAGTGGTTGTTCGATTTTCTATTCCTACCATAGTGTATGATGAGATTGTTGCTCTATATACTTGCCTTCACTAGATCCTACCACTACAAGTCTGGTTCTTTCCAAAGTATATCTTTAACCATGGCAGCTAAACAATAACATTTGTTCAGTGAATTTAACTTGATTATTCTCAGTGCAGTTCCTGATGTTTTCCCACATTGGGACATGATTCACTTTTCATGCTTGATAATATTTTGCTGGACTCCAGTTCACCAATACTGGAACTGCCCAGACCTGGCTTTTACAGATCTTGCTGGTTTCTACTTCAGTAGGCATTAAAAATGTTCCCTCCTCCACCAACTCAGTTATTCACACAGGGTTGAACAGTATACACCCTGACCCCTTGTCATTTGTATTTGATCACCCAGCAGTTGCATTGGCTAGGAAAGAGTGTATTTTATCCTCTCTAATCTTTCTTCCCCATGGCCTATACAGTAATCATGGAATAAATGGATAGACCAAAAGAATGCCTTTTTTCCGTTACTCAATTTTCCTCATTCAAAGGCTCCTCCTGTAAGTTTCAATGGTGGTCATTACAAACATTGGCTGATTAGAAGACCAGAGTCAGAACACTAGGTATTTTTGTTTTCTGATTCTACTTTATCAGAATAAGGGTAGAAATTTGAGCAAGCCAAGTTAGAGTAATAACTATTATATACTCAACAAGTATTTGCAGAGTATACACTTGTATAGGCCACTCTATTTATTTTAGTGGTTTGATTTGAGTCATATTTCAGATCTTTGGATGAAATGAGCTACACATAACCAACTTTTTTACAGGCTCCGGCATACAGTTTTGTAAGTAAATTAGTTTTTAGAAAAGTCTGCTCCTTCAGGAGTCTATTCTCATGCAATTAATTTATGCACAAGACTTAATTAGCTCTTTGTAATGAATACAACCACCTGGAACAAAATTTTATTAAGATGATAATCTTGTAAAAACCCTGGGCTAATGATACCTATCTGATAGAAGTTACATAACTGAAAAGTCTGATTTTGAAACTATAGTCTTTTCTTTTAAGAGGTAAGATTTAAAAATTGCAATCCCTTACAAAAGAAAATATTTGTTACACATTGATAATATTGCTACACCTCACATTTAAAATTTTGTTCCCTGATATCGGGACGAAGTATGAATTGCCATTTCTAAAACTTTTGGTGATCCTGCTGTTTTTCTCAAACTAGGAGTAAAAGAATTTCTTTTTTTAAAATAAATTTATTTATTTTATTTATTTATTTTTGGCTGTGTTGGGTGTTCGTTGCAGTGCGCGGGCTTTCTCTAGTTGCGGAGAGTGGGGGCTACTCTTCATTGCAGTACGCGGGCTTCTCATTGCAGTGGCTTCTCTCATGTGGAGCACGGGCTGTAGGCTTCCGTAGTTGCGGCACATGGGCTCAGTAGCTGTGGCTCACGGGATCTAGAGCACAGGCTCAGTAGTTGTGGCGCACGGGCTTAGTTGCTCCGTGGCATGTGGCATCTTCCCAGACCAGGGCTCGAACCCGTGTCCCCTGCATTGGCAGGCAGATTCACAACCACTGTGCCACCAGGGAAGCCCCGAGAAAAGTAAAGTATTTCTTGTATCTACTCTTCAAAGGGTACGACTGAAAAACAAAGGTAACTGTTGTCTCAAGAATAACAGGGGAAGGTAAATATTTTTGTGGGTGTGAAGAAAATTCTTACATACTCCATTTGTAAACAAAATGTTTATATAAAAAGAATGCACCTGGCTGACTTTATTCATTATATCATAGGTCTGGCCTCAGTAGACATCTGGGGTTGTACTGTCTGTGCTCGTAAGTTGTACCAAACATTTGCCCTCCCCTCTTTTGGATGGATAGGTGTGGTGTGAAGGAGTGAAATCTAGGCTGCAGATATAAATTTGTTGATCATCATTATAGAGATGGTAAATGAAGTCTTGAGATAATCAATGTAAAGCATATAATTTTAAACATATGTAAGGGGACAAGTATGGAAACCTAGGAGTCATGTGAGAAGTGGCAACTAGAGAGGTAGGAGGGAGTCTAAATGGTCCCACGTAAGGCAAGAAAGGAAAGCATTTCACGAATGATGAAAGGGTCAACAGTGCTGCCAGGAAGGCACTAAGAACTGAAAAGCGTGCGTTGAATTGAATGGTGAAGTCATGTGTGACTTTGGCAAGAACCAAAACCGACCGAAGACTATTCTTGCATACAATTTACCAGTGCATCGATAAAAGTATACCATAACTAAGGAAATTGAAAAAGCCAATAATCACATCAGGAAAGGTTCAACTTCACTATTAATTATGGTTTTCATTCTTTTTAGAATCATCTAAGGTAACATAACACTCATGGGCATGAAAGGCAACAACATACTGCAGAGTAAATATAAAACAGCATGTAGAGTATCACATTTGTGTAATATCATCCCATTCTCAAAAGTTTATGTATTTTGGTAAAGAGATTTCTAGGAAAGAATTAACCAAAATATTAACAATAGCTATCTCTGTGTATTGGGATTTGAGCACACGATAAAGAGCTTTTTATACGTGGACTTGAATTATCTACAGGGATAAACTGAGACTTTCATAAATGATAACAACAAAATAAACTTGGTACGTAGTGAAAACCAGCAGTTCAGATCAAAAGGGGGTCTGAAAGTAAACGGGACCATGTACCAGCACAGATAGATCTAAGAGCTCAGAGGGAAGAATTAAAGGGTAGCTCTACCTAAAAATGTATGTATACACCCTGGCTTAAAGTAGATTGGCTTAAGCAGCATTTCTCAATGAAAGGCACTCACAGCACACTGGGCAGGGCAATTTTTCATTGTACTGAATGTTCCTTGCATAGCAAAGTAGGTGGCATACCTGGCCTCCACTCCCAAGTCTTTGTAGCAACCAAAACACTTCCACACATTTGCGAAGGTCCCCTAGGCAGCTGAAAGTCACTGGCCTGGGGATCTGACAATTTCCAGTGATTTATGGTTACCATAGGAACTAATTATGAAAACCAAGTTCTAAGAATAACTATGAAAGGAAAAATGGGTGGTTGTGATACCTAATAAACATTTAGAACAATATACCATACCACTTAAATAGTATTCTGAAGCCTTTTCCCCTGATGTCCCTGCTCTATAAGACATAGTTTTTATTTTGCTTTTTATCTGTCTTTAACAACTTCCAAACTTCTCTATCTTTAATCCTTTTACCTATACACTCACAATTACAAGGATTTTTTAAAAACTAGATTTAAACTATATTTCGTAGATGGCTTTCTATGGATAAAATGAATTTTAATGAGAATTAAATTTAATGCGAATTCTTTTTAAATTTGTTGACACAGTTAGATCTCACTGCTCACTATACCAAAAAGAAAAGAAAGAAAGAAAAAGAAAAAAAGGGTGGGACTCAAAAGAAATGTGCTATGGCAATTGGGATTTAATGATATATACTGGAAGGATCTAGATGACAAACATAAAGTTATACTCTACTGTAGAAATTACTCCTCCTAAGTCCACTTCAGAAACATTCAAATATTAGGGACACATGGAAAAATTGGCTTTTATCTAAAGTCAAGGGGCCAATCATGTTGTATGTCAACAAAAATCCTCAATGCTATGCCTCTCTTAACTAACAATCATTTCATAGCCACATTAATACCATTCTAAATCGTAATCTAGGTAAAAGTTGTAGAGACTCCCATTTACATTTTTTTACCAACTATCATAAATGTAAGCTTATAAAGATTCTACCTCATAAGAAAATCTTTCAGTAGAATTGAAAGCACATAATATTACAAGAAGGTGCTCTAATGTATGGTTTACCGAGCATACTGCCAGCCACCAGGATATCGAAGAGTGTGTCTGCATAGCGACGATAATCTAATCTTGAGCCTGTAGAGTCCAGAAACTTGGCTACAGCTTCAAGGTCATCACCAGCTTCATTAAGTCCCTGGATGAGTGTATCCCTGAAGACTGTGGGTTCGAATTTCTCTTTTTCATCTAAAATAAATACAGAATACAATTATCCTTTTACTTACACAACATATTCCCAAATGCAACCATACATTTCCTTTGTTCACTGGTTTTTATTTGATAGTATGATTATTTAAAAGTTGAAGGATGATTAAGTTTTTCTACTAGTTTTTCATGTTAAAGCCCTTGTTTAAATATTTATTCAAGCAATTTATTTCTGTTGAAAGGGGCCACACTCTATCTAATACATTAAAAAATTGATGATTGATCATTTGTGTCACTCATAGGATAGGCCAATGTAAACTACTAACCCTATCTATCTGATAAACAATAAAGTATAACAATCAAAACTTAAAATTTTGTTCCACTTAAGACAGAAAAAGAAAATGATGCAGGGAGAATCACTTAAGATTAAGGGAGAATATATAAACAAACAAAATAAAGATTGGGAGGAAGAAAATCAAGAGGGGTATCTCTTTTTAAATTTTTTTAATCGAGATATAATTGACATATGATATTATATTAGTTGCAAGAATACAATATGATTTGATATTTGTATATATTGCAAAATGATCACCATAATAAGTCTAGCTAACATTCATTACCCTACATAGTCACACATTTTTGTCTTGTAATGAGAAATTTTAAGATCTTTCTTAGCAACTTTCAAGTATGCAATACAGTATTTTTTTTAACTTTTAATTTTATATTGGAGTATAGCCTATGAACAATGTTGTGATAGTTTTAGAGGCAAAGTGACTCAGCCATACATACACATGTATCCATTCTCCCCCAAACTCCCCTCCCATCTAGGCTGCCACATAACATTGAGCAGAGTTCCCTGTGCTATCCAGTAGGTCCTCGTTGGTTATCCATTTTAAATATAGTGGTGTGTGCATGTCAATGCCAAACTCCCAAACTATCCCCTCCCTCCACCTTCCCCCCTCATAACCATAAGTTTGTTCTCTAAGTCTGTGAGTCTGTTTCTGTTTTGTGCAATACAGTATTATTAACGAGTTATTATGCTGTACATCACATCCTCATTACTTATTCTACGATTGGAAGTTTGTACATTTTGACCACTACCTTCACCCACTGCCCCCTCCCCACCACGTCCCCACCAGTGCGCCTCTGGCACCCATCAATCTGTTATCCATGAGCTGTTTTTTTGTTGTTGTTTGTTTGTTTTTGTTTTAAAGATTCCACACGTAAGTGAGATGATACAGAATTCGCCTTTCTTATTTCACTTAACATAATGCCCTCCAGATCCATCCATGTAGTCACAAATGACAGGATTTCCTTCTTTTTATGGCTGAGTAATGGACAGGTTGTTTCCATATCTTGGCTTATTATAAATAATGCTGCAGTGAACATTGGGGTGCATGTATCTTTTTGAGTTGGTGTTTTCATTTTCTTCCAATAAATACCCAGAAGTGGAGTTGCTGAATCATGTGTGATTCTATTTTTAATTTTTTAAGGAACCTACATACTGTTTTCTATAGTGGCTGCACCAATTTACATTCCCACCAATACTGTTCAAGGGTTCTCCTTTTTACACATCATCACCAAATACTTGTTATTTCCTGGAGGAATTTTTTTCTTAACAAGATAAATTATTCCAGCATACTTAAATATTTAAAAACTATCGTGAGCTATACGTTTGGATATCCAGCTTCAGAGCAGATGTTCTCAACCTTCTTGTTTTCATGACCCCTTGACACCCTTCAGAAGTATTAAAGATTCCAAAGAGTTCTTGTTTATGGAGGTTACATCTATAGATACTTACTTTACAGAAATTAAAGCATAAAATTATTTATTACATGAAAAATTTTAGTGAGAAGAGAGGCACTGTTTTACACTTTTGCAAATCTCTTTAATGTCTGGCTTAATGGCAGACAGATTTCCAAACATGCTGCATGCAATCTGTTGCAATATCACACAACCTGTAGCCACCCACTGTAAACTCATGAGAGAATGTGTGAAAGGGGCAAATGATATCTGGGTATTTAATTCGAAAACAGTTTTGACTTTGTAGACACCCTGAAGTATTTCAGAGGATTTAGAGGTACAGATATTATGTAAGTTCCTCTCCTCAGCAGACTCTAGAGAGACGTCTTGTGGAAGGTCAGTTTGGAGCAAAATCTTGAACAAAATAAAGATCATATGCTGTTGAAAAAATGTGAAGCTAGCAAACTAGAGGTCGGAAGAGGTGTTAAAAAAAAAAAAAAGGCTAGGTTAAAGGCTAAGTATGTAGGATTCAGTTCAAAGGATTTCACCTTTTTCCCCCCCTTATGCAGAGTCTGCATATGGGGAGAGAGGGACAAAAGATGAACCCAGAAGTTAAAAAAAGAAAAAAAATTCTATCATATGTGTCTTTAGAGATAGTAGATATTGCAACTGTAAAAAAAAAAAAAAAGAAGAAGAAGGAGGAGAAGAAAAGAATGCTATAGAAAAAGAAACATTTCATGAATTAAAAGAAAAAGTTCCTAGAAATGAAAAATATGACAGAAAAACATACCAACTCAACTGAAGAGTTAAAAGAGAAAGCTGAGAATATCTCTGAGAAACTGGGAAAAAAGTCAGACACCTACAAAATAGGAGCAGAAGGGTAAGAAAAAGAGCCGACCCGTCAAATGTCCAAATAATAAGTGAATAAAAATATATTTTTTTAAAAAGGAAAGGAAAGGATTTAAAAATTTCAAGAAAGTTTTACAGTATTGAAGGACATGAGTTTCCCAATAAAGGACTGTCTAGGGACCCAGCACAAGGACTGAAAGTGGATCCACAAGGTGCATTCATTACTGTGAAACTTCAGAACACTGGGAATAAAGCAACTCTCTGAAGTTTCAGGTGCAAAAAACCAAATCACATATAAAGTATCAGGAAACAGAATGACTTTGAATTGCGCAACAGAAATACCAGAAACCTGAAGATATTCCTTCAAAATTATGAGGAAAAACAATTTCCAAACTAGAATTCCAGTGTTCGGTCACACTACTAATCAAACATAAGAGCAGAATAAACATATTTCAAGACATTCAAGGCCTCAAAAATTATGTTTCTGATACACTCTTTTTAAAAGCGATTGAAACAGACACCACACCGAAATGAGAGAATAACTCACGATTTCACAATCTTAGTAAGTCATGAGATCCCAGGAAAAAGAGAAAAAAATCTAAGAGACAGACAACAGTACTCTTCAGGACAGTGGTGAAAGGACATTTCAAGCATTTCACGTTAACAGCTGGACAGTTGGCCTAGAGAGCAAACCAAATGGAAGAGGGTTTTTCAATACAATATGATATGATACATAGTCAGAATTCCTTCAATGTAATATCATTGTTAGAATTCCTAAAGTGTTTATATTAAGAGATTTACATAACAAGGGAAAGGATGGGGTTGACTAGTTTTAAGGTACAGAAGACTAAGCAAAAAAAAAAAAAAATTTTGATTATTATTAAATTCATTAAATCCAAAGAGAAAATGGTGTTCAGAAAAATAAATCAAATAATAGCTCAGCTCTGAAGAACATGTACCAAGTCACAATAACATACACCCTAAACAGAAGTCTAGCTAAAACTGATACAATGAAAGGACGGAGAACGAGAAGAGGTTTGCAGGTGGGTGAGGCATGAAAGAGCCGAATCCTCATGTCCCATAGGAGGAAATGCATCTAGAATACCTCCAACAGAAACATCAAGCATCAGCCATACAGGAGTGTTATTTGGCCACAGGAATGCAAATGTTAAAAGAAGCAGTTAGAGTAGAAAGAGCTCCGCTGGGGTCTTGCAGAACTGTTTGACTATTTAAACCACGTACACGCATGACTTTGATAACAATTAAAAACTACATGTAAAAACCAGACAGCAGCTGCCTGGTTTGTACAGACTGCCTACCTACAGTCTAACAGAAGGGATGTGTTGTAAGGGGTTAATACCACAGCCTCAGAAACAGAGAAGAATGGCATTCCCAGTACCAGTCAGAGTCACGCAGCATAAGATACCATGAAGACAGATGTAAATTAACTTGAACACTATTCGTCATGAACGAGAGATAAAAGTCCTTTTGATGCCATAAGCAAAACATTATGCAGCCAAGAACATGCAAATGTTGACCGCAGGAAAAACATAATTGGGGTCTTGTTGTGAAGCGGGGGAGGGAGAGAATGGGCACCCTAGAAGCGCAGATCACGGGGCTCGGAAGAAGTGGGTAACTGTGACCCACAGGATGAACTCATTGGCAAGCATCATCCCCTACTCGGGGTCCAGCCAAAGGGTAATTCACCACCCACCTTGGGAAGAAGTTCCCTCTCCTTGAACACAAAAGCATGAGAAGTGAAAAGACCACGAGCTGCTTATTAAGTCTCGTGACCAGCTCCCAAAATCAACTGAGGCCATCTGCACAATGGCACCCCAACATGCTTTGACATTGACTCAGGTGGTAGAACAGACTTTGGTGGTTTGAAAATTATAAATTCAAGACACTGGAAAATATAAGTTGAGCAATAAGGTAAGCTACAAATTCATGCAGACAGTTTTGTTTTGAATCTAAGAGACAACTTAAAAACTCTTCTTTGTAAAAAGGCCCTCATCCACCAGTTATACTTTTCCAAAAGACTTGCTAAGGGAGAGGGAAAGTAAAAGGAGGAAGACAGCACATCATGGCCAGACATATTTCAACAGTGAGTAATAATGCACTAGGTCAAAATGATCAAGTATAGCTTAGGAATCTTAAAAAGTCATGATGGCCTGGGAGGATTAATAATTCTCTTGCAGGATGAAAAGCAAAACTCCCACCTGCTAAGATAAGTGTCCATCTAGAGGAAAACTAAATTCCTGTACAGGAAAATGGCAAGAACATTACTGGAAGTTTGGGGAAACAAGACAATATTTTACCCATAGGTTCTTTTTCATCTGAAACAATCAACAGTGTATATGATTTGTATTTCATTTGAGGACAGTGTAGCAGAAGTACCAACAAAATCCTAACGAAAATATGCCATTGCTTCCTTGAGTTTCCATTTGGCAGGTCAAAACTCCTTTGAGGTAGGAAGTACACAATTAGGGTCTCACATTTACACTGTGTTGGTGAATCACAAGTGTGACACTGAAGAGTCAGTCATAATCACCCTCACAAAACACAGAGAAACAGGCCTATTTCCGACACTCAAATACGCCTGTAAGTTATCTAAATACATTGCTTTCTCTAAGAACTATGGTAAATGGTTAAGACAGCATTTTCCCAATGTGTTAAGTGACAAATAACAATCTACCCTCCCTTTCTGAAGGTCACTGAGTTACAGTAAATGAATAAGAACGATCATGGGTTTTCTAACTATACACACACAGATTTACTTCCGTATATATTTAAAGATTTACCTCATTAGTTCCTAACACCACTTATTACAAATCTAAGAGTGATTTAAAACCACCAAAACGGATCTAAAGCCTCAAAGAGAAACCTGAGTATGTGGTTCCTCTGGAGGCCTGAAGTTTGGTCATTTTTTTCTCTCCTATTTTCACTAATTTTAATCCAATTTCTCCACAAAATTTAGAGGGAGGCCAGTTCAATTATTAAATATTTCATTTCACTAAGCATAACAATGGCTCAAGGGAGAAGGGTTCATCCTTTCAGATTCCTCCAAGTCACACTAGAAAACATAATCTCTCTGGAGAAAATATTATAAGCAAGATGTGCATATTTCACAAAGGATACGTTCGATATGATGTGTCCTACCATAATGTTTAATTTTGATGTTAAGCAAAAAGAAATACATTTTTATACTAATTTGGCAGGGAAGAGCATTAACTTTGCTAGGAAATAGGTACAAACTGAAGACAGAGCTTCAGAAGACAGCCTATTAAAATGACCTTGAAATATCCTCCGTAGATTTTTTTTCTTGGCTCTACAAAACTGCCAACCATCTATCTGAATTCAGCCCCATCATACTAGCAGAAGAAAAGCCAAAGCACAATGAATCGTCAGGATGCAATTCACTATTATGAAAAGCAGAAAATGAGGTAGACTCCATTTTTTTTTCCAGTCAGCAGTTTGGCACAAAATGGCCCAAGTGCTGCTCTGATCCCCAACAGACCTGAGTTATATAAATCTAGATCAACTGACAAATGATAGATAACATACTTCTGGGTGGCTCTCTGTGAGTATTCCCGCAGCTATCAGACACAGTCTTGCCCACCAAATGAATCAGAGGCAAACCACTTCAGTGGTAGAGGCAACCTTTCCAGTCCAAAACTGAAAACTGACCGTAAGGGCCAGTTTACTCGCTGAATCATGCCTGCTCTTGTGCAAGACATCCTTGGGCCCTCTCCTGGCGTTGGAGCTCAGCTACCGTGAATCAGCGTCACACTAAGAAAGCTGCCCGAGTTGGAGATCCAGGTCTGAGATTAACACGTTCCCTCAGCGGGCAGGCGATGGCAAACTTTCCTTCACCTGACAGTTGGGCATACATTAAATATTATCACATTACTAGGCGCAACAATAGCTTAACTGTAACTAGGTTTCTGATTAAGTCCTTTGGAAATCATCGACGTCATTTATGTTTTTCAAGACGGCTTTAAACAATGAGACAAAGAACGTACGCTGGTTGCAGCACCTTGCATTGCTATCTGCTGCCAGATTTCAATCCACATTGTGTAGTGGGGACACAGTTTGTAAGAGGGCTAAATATAAGAGAAGGAGGTGGTTCAGACTATACTTATACTTAGCTTATGGGGATGAGTCAAGGATGCAAAAGATAAAAATAAAAAAGAGTATAAGACAGAAATACTATACAAAATAACCGTATCTTTTGGTTTTTAAAATATTTTTTAATTTTCATTTTTTTAGTGGGAATGTGAAGCTTTCTGGCAGGTAGCATTTTAGTCCTTACTGTTACCTAGTGACTCTTGCAATCTCTTCTAATTCAAATGATCTATTGTACTGAGAATTCTTTTCCTTCTACATGGCTACACTTGCTACTTACATAGTCACAGCATTGCAAGAGAACTTCAGCTACACGCATTGGCTGAAAATGCCAAAGGCATGTGATATAGCTTATCAATTCAACAATTTAGCACTCGATGACCATTACATGGCATTCTGCTTCATAATCAGCTATGAGGCCTTCAAAAAGATATTCAATCATCCTTTATCTTTACACATGATACTTCCTTAAATATTATTCAGTCACTCTCCTCAGTGTCAGTCAACATAATAATTTCATACCATGTTTCATATTTTAAAAAGTTTCCCTATTGGGACTTCCTTGGTGGTCCAGTGGGTAAGACTCCGTGCTCCCAATGCAGGGGGCAAGGGTTTAATTCCTGGTCGGGGAACTAGATCCCACATGCATGTCGCAACTAAGAGTTTGCAGGCCGCTACTAAGAAGCGCACATGCCGCATCTAAGACCTGGCACAGCCTAAATAAATAAATAAATAGATTAAAAAGTTTCCCTATCAACTTTTGACTCAACTGCTCTTAAAACCAAGAGGATTTCTATATAATTATGCAAAACTGATTAAATATTATAAAAGATTTAAAAATTCTGTACACAAAAAGAATGGGAAGATGAACATAACAAAAAGAAGTCACTCACATATAGAAATTGTACCAGCCACCATCAAACTGGCTATATCACTTCTCTTCCCACGATAAAAGACACCTGAAAATATCCTGAGTTTTACAGATATTTAGGGCAGTAAATTTAATTCGACTTTCTAAATTCTGAAAAGGCTAAAACACTTCAATGTCTTCCCTAATTTACTCTTCTCTTAGTTTTACTATCTTGGCTTATGAACGTTTTCTTAAAAACACAAAGAAAGCAAAAACCAAATGCAAACGCTGATGTTAAAAACAGTAAAGTTTATCAACTGCCTTCATAGCCTCACATGACAGTAAGGCAACCTGAACAGATATAATCATCCTCATTTTGTAGATGAAGACACAAAGCTCAGACAAGTTAAATGACTTGTCCAAAAATCAAACACCTAAGTAACCGGTGGTTCTGAGGCTTGAATGCACAGCTTCAGATTTTACAGTCAGAGCTCAAAAGACAGAAATTAGTGAGGTTAGGTGGAAACAAAGTTAATCCCAATTCCTCTTTGTGGAATTAAGAAATTTCAGCTAAAATTGGAGTCCGGGCAGGCCTGTAGGGGGAGCTCTTATACCCTGCCACGCACCATCAATTACTCCAAACAGGAAGATACTTATGCCTTCCTCTCTAGTCTCCAACAGAAAGGTGTTGCCTACTTAACTATCCAGAAGGAAGAAGAAAACTTCTCTCCACCTAACCACAGCCCAGCCAATCAGAGAATGTACCAGACCAACCTATGAGTAGCCTCCATACTTTGGACTCCCAGCTTCCTCACATGGACAGTTGGGTTATTATAGCTCCTCTCAACTCCCCTCTTTTCCCTATAATAGCAAGTTCCTCTTCCTTGTTCTCTGACTTGCCCCATAGTTCACATACCCCGAACTGCAATTCCTCTGGGCTCTTCCCGAAGAAACTCGCTTTTGCTAGTAAAATAACTGGCTGTTGTATTGTTAAACTTGACATTCACCAACCTTATATTTTGATTAGAACTTTAAACACACATTCCCCCCAACCCCGTCCCTGCCATACACACACAAACACACAACACTACCTACCCCTTTTCCGAGTTTTGAACCGCTGGCCTGTTAGCACTGGCTTCTGATGCTTATTCATAAAATTTCTGAAAACAAAGAAAGTAAGATTAGGCACTTCAAAGAAGCAGTTGATATAATATATAGCTAATAAGTATATGTTTGACTAAATATAATATACTAACATACTAAATATACTTTTAAAAATGAGATAATTGTAACTACTGAACTAGCAAAACTTTTAAAGTTTAATAATATCTAGTGTGGACAAAAGACACAAGGAAAATAACCACAGACATAAACTTTGATATAAAGGATAAACTCCATGCAATACTTTTGGGAAGCATTTGGTGAATATCTATAAATATTTACATGTGCATAACCTATGGTCCAGCAATTCCTTTACAAGGAATTTGTATAACTTTTCCTTTACAATTTATACCCACACAAGTATGCAAATATACGTGTATGTGTATATATAAAAGGATTTAGCTGCAACATTGTTGGATGCATAAAAAAATGGAAGTTGAATACTCATAAACCTATCTAGTTCAATAAGTTATAATAAGCCATCAAATGGAACTACGAAGCTTTACAAAATAAATTATATCCAATGTACTACATATGGCCCTGGCTACCTCTCTGATTATGTTTCCTACGTATACCTCTTCCCATCATTCACTGCTCCAGCCAACTGCCCTCTTTGCTTCTTCCAGTCCAGTGGGCCAGGGAAGCCATTCACGTGGCTTTAACTCTCTGCACTCACTCAAATGCCTCCATTTCAGAGACTTTCCCAGACCACCCTGACTAACAAAGCTCCTTCTCTCTCTCTCCCTCTCATCTAGCTCTATTTCTCTTCATAGCTCACAGCAGACCCTGTCATTTCATTAGCATCTGTTTGCCATGGTCTATTTCCCCCAAGAGTAACATCCGTGTGGGTAGGGATTTTGTAGGTTTTACTCAATACTGTATCTTTAGCACCTAAAACAATACTGAGAGTAAGCATTTAAATTTAATAAATAATTGTCAAATAAGCTGTTGCACTGATATGGAAAGATGTTCAAGTAAAATTGTTAAAGGAAAAAAGCAAGTTGAATGAAAGAGTGTAAAGCATAATTTTTCGGTTAAAAAGGGGGATACACGTAATATTTCCTTTTCTAGGCAAGGAACATTTAAGAACGATACAAGAAACTGTTAGTAAGCTTTTCATTTGTTTGCTTAACCTCAGAGGATGAGTATTTCGGTATTTTAAATTCTCCTATTGGATTTAATGTATAATTAAAAATATCAAAAATGATCTTTTAGAAAAGTGAAAAATCTGCTCTAAAAGACCTTTTACAAACTGAGAATAACCTTGCTGGCATAAATATTACAATCTGAAAATATGTCTAGATTGCCTAAATTACGAGGACCAAATGATTAAGATAATGTCAAGCAAATTATTTAATTATCTTTCAAAGATTTTTAAAATTGTGATTTGAAAATGTCTAGATTTTCTCCATTACTTATACCATTAATTATATCTCAAAATTTTTAAAAAATCCTCAAGAATGTGGAAAAATTATTATTCAATTTATGTACTAAAACTTTCTTCCAACCCCATGAAAAAAGAGAAACTTCTATTTTCACATAGAAATCAATCTGTCTATCATTGAAAACTTGAATCACCATTTTTAAAGTGAAACTAAAAAAACATGTTTTAAATAAAGTAACAAAGCCCCAAAGTAATATCTTTTATGGTTTAAGTAGAGAGAATTTTTATCAATCCTATAAGGTGAACTTACTACATCCTGCTTGGAGATATAAAGGTGACTAAGCCGGATTCCAAGCCCTCAAGGAACACAGAGCCCAGCAGAGATAAAATACAAACATCTACAGTACAATGTGACAGGTGAAACAACAGCGGGACACACCTAGCTAACCAGGATAGAGAAGGGATTGATTGCTGTATGTGTATGGGGCAGCAGCTGCACAGTGAAATAACTACAAAAGCAATAACTTTAATCAATGAAATCTCATTTCATTTGAAAGATGTTGGAAGTAGAGTTTCTAATGCATTATTTATATTCACTGCAAAACTCTTTCATTCAGAATTTTCCCTGTTGGAATTTTCAACAGATTCACTCTGTACCAGCAAACATTTCTATTGGAGCACAAGTAATGAATATACGTGTGTGTGTGTGTGTGTGTGTGTGTGTGTGTGTGTGTGTTCTCCTTAATATTTCCACACCTCCCAAAACACAACAAATACTGAAATACCATACAAAATATTTTCTTGGGTTAGCGAAGAAAAATATCTGTTAAAGAGTTTGGGTCTCCTACCGAGATACAAAACCAAAAATAGAGCCTGAAACTCTTCCAGGAGGTGAACAAGCAAGGAAGGAGTTTCCTTTTTTGCCAAAGATGTTTTTATTTTAGAATTTAAAAATATTTTTAAAGTGGGAGCCCCCTCTAAAAGACTTATTTTAACGTCTAGAATATAAACATATAGAATTCCCTAATTAACTCTATCTTTACACCTTGTTTCTATTTTCCTGCTAATGGGGAATTACTACCAAACACAGCCTACACTGGAGAGAATTACTCTATTTTAAAAATTCTTTAGCTCTGTTTATATTTTCTTTAGTTCTAAATACAAAAGTTTGTTTCTTCATAGCCGAGTTATGCAGGCTTATTTTACACAACCTCAATATAGTCTATGTGGAAAATAATAAAAGAACACATAAACATAAAAAAAGTATGCAAAGATTTTGACACACACAACATCCAAAATAAAACAAACAAACACAGAGACTCACCTACTGGTATTGAAAGACTAAATGAAGATATTCTGTTCACCAAAAGTCTCTATCGTTTAGCTGTTACTATTTGGAGTAGAGGCTTGGCTTCCCTCTAAATTTAGCTCTGGTGCTACATTATAATCTGCTCCAGTGAGGGTCAGCCTTTATAAGGCACTCACTGAAGCTCTGGCTGAAGAAGAGCAAGGACACTTTGACTAAGAAACTGTGCTGGCTTAAACCTGGGAAAGTAACAAAGGAAGATGACTAAGAAACTGTGCTGGCTTAAACCTGGGAAAGTAACAAAGGAAGACTAACAAAGGCAGTTCTCTTAGGCCAAGGTCAAAAGCTCACTCTTTTTTTTTTTTTTGCGGTACGCGGGCCTCTCACCGTTGTAGCCTCTCCCGTTGCGGAGCACAGGCTCCGGACGCGCAGGCTCAGCGGCCATGGCTCACGGGCCCAGCCGCTCCGTGGCATGTGGGATCTCCCCAGACCGGGGCACGAACCCGTGTCCCCTACATCGGCAGGCGGATTCTCAACCACTGAGCCACAAGGTAAGCCCAAAAGCTCACTTTTATTAGACTGCATTACAACTTACAAGTTGAAATCAACTAAAATCATGATGATTTCACTTCCATAGAAACTATAACCCAAACACTCACATAGAAAATAAGCTCATGGGACTTCCCTGGTGGTGCAGTGGTTAAGAATCTGCCTGCCAACGCAGGGGACATGGGTTCGAGCCCTAGTCCGGGAAGATCTCACATGCCGCAGAGCAATTAAGCCCGTGCACCACAACTGCTGAGCCTGCACTCTAGAGCCCACGTGCCACAACTACTGAGCCCACGTGCCACAACTACTGAGCCCACGTGCCACAACTACTGAAGCCCGCATGCCTAGAGCCTGTGCTCTGCAACAAGAGAAGCCACCACAATGAGAAGCCTGTGCACCCCAACGAAGAGTAGCCCCCACTCGCTGCAACTAGAGAAAGCCCATGCACGAAGACCCAACACAGTCAAAAATTTTAAAATAAATAATAAAAATAAATTATTAAAAAAATAAAAAGAAAAGAAGCTTATGTCCCACCAAAATGAAAAAGCTCCACGGCTTAAAATAGAATTTTAAAAAATTGTATGTAAAGTGGTAAAACAAAACGGATTCAAGTATTTCACACGTCATCTAAGAGACTAAATTTCTTGGATAGTTTAGAAGATAAAAGAAGGCCATAAAAATACTAAAGCGATACAATCAACCAAACAATAGAAAGCAGGTACTTTATTAATGAAATAGACATTTTTCAATCAATTTCTATTTAAGTCTAAATGGAAAAGTTTAATTGAAAGATTTTTAAGTCTAACATATTAGATAAATATCGCCCCACCTCACTTTATTTATCTTCTAACTGCCCTCATGCTCTTTTCATATTCCACCCCTTACTCCCAACCAGACTCTGGGTCCAAGTGTGACAATGGGCCAGCAGCACTGAAGGGTCTCATGGCTACTGTGTATTAATTCTGCCACTTGCCCTGCCCACCCTGAGTAGATTGACACCTTGCATGATGTCTTCCCTCGTATTCTTCCTTAATTCTCTCCATTCTGGAAAGTGTCTGACCTATCACAGAAGGTCGTACCTTCTAGTTGTCCCTACTAGTGGATGCCTGTTCTCAACTAGTAATCAAGCGATTTGGCCTGATACAAAATTCTTGCCTGTTCTTCTGGTCTGGCTCATCTTTGAAGTATGATGATCTGCCTTATGTAAGGCATTTAATATTACTAATATATGCTACACATAAAATAACTATGCTATTCAAACAACCTTGACATTATAACTATGGATACTCTAAAGTGGAATCAATCTTATTTTATAAAGGGATAGAAAGAAAATATTTTAGGCTCTGTGAGCTACATGGTCTCTGTTCCAACTACTCAGTTCTGCTGTTATAGCCTGAAAGCAGCCATAGGCAATATATAAATAGGTGGTCATGGCTGTATTCCAGTCAAACTTTATTTACAAAACAAACAGTGGATCAGAATGGGCCCCCAGGTTGCAGTTTGCCAACACCCATCCTGGAGAGGTGTACCCAACAGAACTATCTGTGACCGTGAAAATGTTCTATATCTGCACTGTCTAATATGGTAGCCACATGTGGCTATTGGACCCTTGAAGTGCGGCTAGTGTGACTGAGGAACTAAATGTTTAATTTTATTTAATTTTAATTAATTAAAATTAAAATTGAAATAGCCAACGTGTCTAGTGGCTATTATGTCAGGCAACCCAGTTCTAAAGCATTCCCTACGGCCCAACACACAAA